TCTCCAATAAAAGGTGGTGGAGGGGGAGGTGGTGTCGTAGCTACAAGAAATACAGCATAGATGTCAAACTAATGCGGTCTATCATGGTTTGTCTCTTTATACTATCATGAAAGTTCATCTGTGTTGGTAGTTACATGTTTAAACCGCGACGGGGGTCGACATCGTCTACCAGATACCTTTGACTCAGTGTTGACGTCACACTTCAAAGAAGCCACGTGACAAGCTTCACTGGGTCAGTCTACTGAGGAAGACCAGAGTGACTGGTCGAAAGCTCTAAGCGAGAGAATTTTTTGTGTTGGATCAAAAGTTTTGACTTTAAACAGGTTTGTCTCTTTGTTCACATCTAGATCTATGATCTATAAACCGCTCCGCTTAAAATGGACCACTTGTCAAAACGACCATGGTATACATTATAGAAACGATATGTTACTTGGGCAGATCATAGGAGCCGCTTCAGCATTGTCACTCCCCTCACAGTAACAGACCACGCCGTCAGGTCTGGTGACGGTCTCACCGTCTTCGTAGTATTGTTCGTCGTACTCGCAACCTGCATAATCGGTTAAAATCAAAGCGTGTACAAATGTAAATGAAAACAAGTTTGAATGCACATCTGTACAGTTCAGGACAATGTTATCAAACTATGTGAGAGTGTCATAAATGACTCATTTCGAAATGAGCTTATTTCGAATCACCATGTAAAGCACTTGTATAGTTAAGAGAGAAAGCTAACAAGGCTGACACTTAGGCTATTTAAAGGAGCCAAATGGTGACATAATATTGTCTAACTGGGAACTTCAATAACTGTCTAATTGAAAGTCAGGAAGACTCACAGTTGTATCCAAAGTTGTCCCAGACCAGGAGCTGGCCGCCGTAGTCACAATATACACCGTGTCCCATACAGCCTGGGACCTCCTCTATTGTCGTATCCGGAGGATAAAACTGTCCCCCGTACTCACAGCCAGGAGGGATGGTTGTCGGGGGCAGGGGTGTTGTTGTAGTAGCTACAAGAAATATAGCATTCCGGTTTATAATGGCTTGCCTCTTTGATCACATATAGATTTTTTGATCCCTCAATCGCTTAAAATGGACGAGTGGAATTATAGCATTCAGAGATGATGACATGACGGAGGTATGAATTCTGAAACTCTGGTGTCTTATGATGCAACCTTGTGATACATCTAGTGGCAATGACATGGGCCTAATTTCCAAGAAAATTCTGTGGAACAAGGGGAGTCTACATTGGCCGCCTGTATCCACTGGCCTTCTGCAGCTAATGGATACAGGCGGCCAATATAGACTCCCCTTGTTCCAAAGAATCTGCTAGGAGATTGCATGATGCCATGCTCAAAGCGACATGAAATGGTGGGGGCAAAATCATCCAACTCTGCTTCTTCAACTTTCCCTACCTTCTACCATTTGACAAAAGAATTACTTGACGTGTATGTATAGAAACGAATTGTTTTACTTGGGCAGATCATGGGAGCGGCTTCAGAATTGTCGCTCCCCTCACAGTGACAGACCACTCCGTCAGGTCTGGTGACGGTCTCACCGTCTTCGTAGAGTTGTCCATTGTATTCACAACCTGCAGCATTGGTCAAAATCAACGCGTGTGTAGATTAAAACAATTGTGGTAGGAAAAGACGTTAAGTTAGACCCACACGAAATAGTGTATGGTAGTGTCGATATGTCGAACAAAATGTACTTCTGTGTTACTGATATTAAGTTTTATTTATATAAGATGTACATTAAGGATTTACTTCATTTTACTAGCTTCGAAGAGTGTAAGACTAGATTTAAAGCAATTCACTTCTGATTTTATGATGATTGTAAATACGGGGGGTAACTGATGGTGTGGGCGTCTCAGGTTTTTTTTTTAATATGCTAACATTGATCATGTATGTATAGTATTTGTATTTTTATACTGTAAACCTTTGTATGTGTCACACTGTATGTAATGTTTTCTGTATTTTTGAAAAAAAAAATTTAAAAAAAGAAAAAAAAAGTAAGATTAAAACAAGTTCAAATGCACATCTGTACAATCCAGGACAACGTTAACAAACTATGAGACCATGTAACAGGAACTTGAATGATATTCATGCAGAGAGGAAAATTGAAGAAAACATGTGCTGTCTCAGAACTGCACATTTTCCTTCTCGATTTAACCTCAAGCGTACATTCCAGAGATATTGTAGTGATTTTGTGTTCACGTGTAAACCAGTGGTCATACAGGCATTTAAACATGACAAATGATGGCATTGCCAAATTGGGCTGGTCCTATTCAGAAAAGGATGAAAGACTCACAATTATATCCGAAGAAGTCCAAGAACTGGATCTGGCCGTCTTGGTCACAATATACAACGTGTCCATTACAACCTGGGACCTCCTCTATTGTCGCTCCTGGAGGATAGAACTGTCCCTGGTACTCACAGCCGGGAGGGATGGTGGTAGGTGGCTCTGCAAGAAATATCACATCGTAGTGTGCATTTCTAGATCTGTTCCTAATCGTTTGCTTCCTTTACCACTTTCGCCAATAAAGTTGTGAAGATAGACACTAATATTCTACGGCATTATTCTAAATACCCTAGCTGTCAAAGGTAAAAGGAAGGATGTAGAGAGGCTGGCTGCTGATCGGACCTACTGGACCACTCTGATTGCCGCATGTGGAAAATGTTTGTGTGTGTGTGTGTGCATGCAATGGTTGAGAAAAAACATTCGGAAATAGTTTTTATCAAGGTCATTACATAGAGATTCTTTTACCTGGGCAGATCATAGGAGCGGGTTCACCAGTTTCGCTGCCCTCACAGTAACAGACTACGCCGTTAGACATGGTGACGGTCTCACCGTCTTCGTAGTATTGTCCATTGTACTCACAACCTGCAGCATTGGTCAAAATAAGAAAAATGTGCATGAAAACAAGTTCAAATACACATTAACAAACTATGGGAGTCTCATAAATGACTCATTAGAGCTTATTTCGAATCACCCTGTAAAGGGAATGTGTATAGTTATAGTTATAGAGAAACTGAACAAAAAAAACCTGTGCTGTCTCAGAATCGCACATTTTGCTTTTCGATTTAACTTCAAGCGTGCATTGCTGTAAGAGGTCATTGATGGCTGAGTGTCAGCCTTGTTAGCTTTTGATCTTTGGGAGAGGACGAAAGCTAACAAGGCTGACACTCAGGCTATTTAGAGGTGCCAAATGATGACATTACCTAACTGGGCTAATCCTATTAAGAAAAAGGATGAAAGTCAATAAGTCAGGAAGACTCACAGTTGTATCCGAAGTTGTCCCAGACCAGGATCTGGCCGTCTTGGTCACAAACTACACCGTGTCCCATGCACCCTGGGACGTTCTCTATTGTCGTTCCCGGTGGATAAAACTGTCCCCCGTACTCACAGCCGGGAGGGAGTGGGGTGGTTGTAGATGGAGGAGGCGGTGGTGTCGTAGCTACATGCAATATAACATAGGTGTTCAAAACTTAGTACTGCGGTCTATAATGATTTGTCTCTTTCATCACATCTATTTCTATGATCAGAAAAAAACGTACCGCTCCGCTTAAAAAATGGTACATTTGTCAAAACAACCATTTGTATTGTATATAAACAATGTGTTACTTGGGCAGGTCATAGGAGCCGCTTCAGCATTGTCGCTCCCCTCACAGTGACAGACCACTCCGTCAGGTCTGGTGACGGTCTCCCCGTCTTCGTAGTATTGTCCGTTATATTCGCAACCTGCAGCATTCAAAAGCAAAGTGTGTAGACCAAATCACCATTGAAGTTCAAATGTACAAACGTCTTCAAAACAACACTGTCACGCAATTGTACATTTCGCTCTTTAAGTTGAATTGTACATTGACTGAAGTTACGAATGAATGCGCTTAAGACGTTGCAATGATTTTGTGTTTCATTGACCACGAGGGCTTTGAAGATGTCTGACTGGGGAGGTCATGTTGAGATGTGGGAGACAGGTAATATGTCCTGAATACTCACAATTGAATCCAAAGTTGTCCCCGATCAGTATCTGGCCGTTTTGGTCACATAATACAACGTATCCCATACAACCTGGGACCTCCTCTATGGTCGTCCCCGGAGGATAGAACTGTCCCCCGTACTCACAGCCGGGAGGGATGGGTGTCGTCGTCGTCGGTGGAGGTGGTTGTGGAGTAGTTGTCGGTGGCTCGTCTACAAGATAAAGGAGATACCATCCATTGTAGATGGCTCTAGACCGGATTGGGTTAGGGTTAGAATCAAGCACGGCTCTTGATACTTAGTAGTCTACGCGAATTCAAGAACGCATGTTTGCTCAAGGCACAATTCCGAATGGTCTACGCATATCCAAGAAGTAGAATTGCCCAAGGAACAGTTCTGGATGGTCTACGCGTATCCAAGAACGTATATTTGCTGACGGCACAGTTTCGAATGGTCTACGCATATTCAAGAAGCTAGTCTTTATCCTGTCGTTGCTTCTGCAGACCACTCAAAGGAAGGGGCACATAAGTTAAGGCGGATTGTCAATCCCAATTGACGTAGAGCGTGATGCTTTCTTTCCCTACCCATCCCTCCCTATCTTTTCTGGGGCTTACTCTACACACACACACACGCACACAAACACACACACCGACACACACATACATACACACACACACACACACACACACACACACACACACACGAGGAAAGAGTTCACAATTGAGCTTGTTGTAGAGCTTACCAGTATCAAAGCCACACAGCTCCTGCAGTATACGGTTGGCGAGCTCGCACGGATAGCCGGTGCCGAACACGTTACCTGGGCCGCCGCCGATGGCCTGGAGCGCGGCGCTGTTCACCTGGCCTCCGATCCCCACACTGTACATGGTGATCCCTGCGTCCCTGGCCGCGTCAGCCTGAGCGGCGTAGTCATCCATTGTCTAAGAATAGCAATGAAAGCAAATATGTGTTGTTGTCCATGTCAAACTCCATTGCAATGTTTTGTCTTTGTCAGCATGACTAGCCTAGCCTGAGTGTCAGCCTTGTTAGCTTTCGTCCGCTACCAAAGATCCGCTACCGGCCAACAAGACTGAACCCGAACGCATTGTTGGCCGGTAGCGGATATTGGGGAGCGGACGAAAGCTAACAAGGCTGACACTCAGGCTAGGACTAGCGCTCTGCAATACCTAAAATTTCTGTGTTTTTTTTTTCAAAATGAGACGAAAATTAATGCACATACTGATGTCATCCATAACATTTACATGCTGTGGCCTAAGATAAAAATCAAAAGGTCTGTCCTTGGTGCTGAACAAATTCTACACATAGGGACAGGCCTGTCCTTGGTGCTGAACACCATCTACACATAAGAACAGGTCTGTCCTTGGTGCTGAACACAGCCCACACATAGGGAAAGGTCTGTCCGTGGTGTTGAACACAGTCCACACATAGGAACAGGCCTGTCCGTGGTGCTGAACACAGTCCACACATAGGAACAGGTCTGTCCGTGGTGCTGAACACAGTCCACATATAGGAACAGGTCTGTCCCTGGTGCTGAACACAGTCCACACATAGGAACAGGTCTGTCCCTGGTGCTGAACACAGTCCACACATAGGAACAGGTCTGTCCTTGGTGCTGAATTAGTTGAGATAGAAATTTTGTAAATGTATTAACTGTAGTATTTTTGTATGTCTGAATTTCTGGACATGTTTTGTTCCAAAGCTTAAGTTGATGCAAGTCCTTGGTCAATGTGGCATTCATCTTTGAAAACTTTAAACATCCTTGTGGTGGGAACAACATGTAGTACTCTAAGACTAACAGATGAAGTGTTACTTACAGATTCGTGTCCATTTCCATCGGCATATCCATCGGTCAGGACCACTGCTACTCGGTGGGCCCCGTTACGGAAATTGGACTGAACAAACAAACAAAGAGATAAATAAAACACGAAACACACACAAAGACTAACAAAACGTCATGGAAAAAGTCTGTATGACAGAGTTTAATAATTCAAATGTGGCTTTCTTGTAAGAAATAAAGAAATGAAAACTCAAAGAACATTATTCTACTAATCTCCATGCAGATCCTACGGTGACAATGCATTAGCCATTGGCCAGAGACGTGTCCACACTCCTCTGGCCAATGGATACTGCCTTGCCACCGTATGATCTGCTTGGAAATTAATATTTTAGATGTCAACTTCAAACTATTATCAGGAATGACAGTCCTACCGTATGTGCCATGTAGCTGATCGCCACCCCGATTCGACTGAGGCCTCCTTCTTTCATCAACATGTCGATGTGTCCGGGTAGTGCGGGGTCACTCACGTTGTAGTCACCCAGAGGAATGGCCGTCCTCGGTACGCAGTTGAAAAGGATGACTCCAACCTGTGTCATGGTCAGCAAAAATGGTAATAATAGTGATGGTGAAATAGGGTTAATGATAATGATAATAATTATAACTTGTAAATGATACAACATATGTCAAATGTAAAATAGTTATGAAAACTAAATCTACTCTACAAAGTAGTACAGGATAAAACTCAGTATGAACTTTCTTTCTAAACTTGATTTTTAATATCTATTTAGTACATACTAGTAGGTACCTTCTTATGTACTGTACCCATGTATATTTGTCTGTATATCTACATGTGTTAGACCTTACGAAAGTCGCTGTACTTTTTGTTGTGTCAATAAAGTTCTTAAGTACAATAAATATTTACCACACGCTAAATATTATCATAAGAAAGAGATATCAGTTTAATTGTCTTTTACAGAACAGGCATGCACGGACAACAGAAATTTTAAGAAGATCATATCTCTATAGGTTGAATCAACATTCATTTTATAAGAATTGAGAGTCGAAGACTTACATATACCCAGGCGTCTTGGTTGAAACACTGGAGGAAGTATTTCATGTACTGTTTGGCGACCATGCTCGAAGTGATGCTGGAAGAGTCGTCAACGACGAAAACAACATCGACGGAGCAAGCTGTGGGTTAGAAACGGGCAGAAGCTGTTATACCAAACTTGTTTTTACAAAGTTTAACGTTGAATACTGAGTTTTTACTGATGAAAATGTTGCCATGATGGTATCTGCCAATCACAGGTAAACCTTCATGCGTGCACAGTTTCGACTTGCTGAGTATCTTGATACCAAGAGTCACCACCTTCCTCTAAGCTCAACGAGTAAGTGAGTGAATAAATTTATGGATGAATGAATGAATGGTTTGCCGTGGGATTAGGGTAGAGTGGGTGGTAAAAATGCGTCATATCAGAATAAATAGGGCATGTTATATAATAAAAAAAGTACCAAAAACGTTTTCTACCAAATATCATGACCCTATGTTGTAGGAATTGACCGTCGAAACTGGTAATAAACAAAATTTTGACCATTGTTTCCATTTATAACATCTTTCCTTGCTATTTCCCACTTCCCCAAAATGGATCCAGTTTTTTTACCTCGGCAGATCATAGGGGCGGCCTCCCAGTCCACTGTACTCCCCACACAGTAGCAGACCACACCGTCAGATCTGGTGAGGGTCTCCCCGTCTACGTAGTATTGTCCATCATACTCGCAACCTACAACATTCGGAACCAATGCGCGTAAACAACAACATTGGAGTTTGAAAAACATTTGCAACCTCTTCTTTGCACGCTGGGATCACGTATACATCGGACGGAAATGGAAAACAACAATAACAACAGACATCATCAAATGGGAAAGTTACGGCTCTCGGTGGCAAATGTGCAGATGTTGCCACATTGGCGCACCAAATCCGTAATGTGTTTTTGGCACACATTTACTAGCCTAAGAGGTTCGGTGGGCGTCACTCCATTGTCAGGAAAGGTGAAGTGTAAAGTGCCTTTCCCCAGAGTACGACGCCTGGGCATGGTGAGTATCGAACCCGGGACCTATTGGTTCCGAGTCCAACGCTCTAACCGTTACGCCACCGACGCCACTACTCTGTAATCAACAAGACATCAAATAAGTCAAAAGGACTTACATCCATATCCAAATTGGTCCAAGATAAGGGTCCCTCCCCATTCGTCCGCGCAAACTACACCTGACCTGAAGCAGCCTGGCTCTCTCATCATCGCTCCTGCAGGATAGAACTGCCCCTCGAACCAACAGCCGCCGGGAGGGCCTGGGGGTGGCTGCGGAGGGGTCGGCTCTGGCGCAGGGGTCGGCTCTGGCGGCGGTACGGTCGTTTCTGCAAGAGATATTAAAAGGGTGACCTCCCTGCAGATCTTTTTTGCCTTCTGCAAAGACAGGATCAAATTGGCCAGACTGGATACAGCTAGCCTGGAGTCTAGCCTTGTTAAGTTTGGTCCGCTCCCCAAGATCCGATACCCAGCCAAACCCAGCGGATCTTGGGGATCGGACCAAAGCTAAGTAAACAAGGCTGGACACCAGGCTAGCTGTGTCCAGCCTGGCCACTTTGATTCTGTCTTTGCAACCACCAAAAGATCTTGTCTGTGGAACCGGCTGCCCTGCTCAGAGAGCCAACCCCCATCACAGGTGTTAGCCTTCAAGCTTCTACGAGCCTGGTCAGTTGAAAGGCTCCAATGCAAGGAAACTGGGAACAAAACATGAACTAATGTTTCCATTTATCATAACAATTAACTCCTCTTACCTTCCATCTCATGCCAAAAGGGATAAACAATGTTTTACCTGGGCAGATCACAGGGACAGGTTCACCAGTTTCACCCCCTCACAGTAACAGACCACGCCGTCAGGTCTGGTGACGGTCTCCCCGTCTTCGTAGTATTGCCCGTCGTATTCGCAACCTACAGCATTGGAAAATACACTATGTAAGGCCATAGTTGATTTGATTATATGGATGACATCCTCTGGGAACCCCAAAACTAAAAAAAAAATTGACAAAAAAAAGTTGCCTTTATTATGAAATCTATGTGAGTATGAACAGCCATCCCTCAACAGAGACGGGGGGCGCCACAGACTTTCTGCAACCTATGATCCACTGCTCACGGGGTCACGTGTGTTATCTGTGTTATCTGTTCACCGAAGCGGTGGATTGCTCATTCATTGACAAAGACTGGAGTTGTACAGTCGAAAATTTTGGTGAGTCCAATTTTTTGTGTTGGAAATTACATTTAAATCTTGCTCATAATGATTTCTACAAAACAGATGAATTTTCAAGATATGAAATGACACAGACTTACATCCGGTTACGCCAGGCATGGCCACGACCTGACCAAACATGGTACAATATAATCCTGTCACCCCGCAGGCTGGCTCCTGTATAACAGACTCTGTGGGGTAGAGTTGCCCCTCATGGTTGCAGTTAGTCGGCAGGGGTGGGGGAGTTCCTGTAAGAGAGAGACATTGTCATTTATAACAGTAGTCTATGTAACATAAATCATCACTCTATATCGATCTATTAATGGGTTGGACAAGTTTTCAAAAATCCACTTGCCCGAATCAACTTTTCGCTTGCTCAAAATATACATGTTTCTATGCATTTTTTATCAAGCCTATTTCTACGGAGAGAGTTTGTGACGGTTTTTCTCAAAGCCAGGACAGGCATGTATTAACTCATCCTAATTGATGTTTTTTGTATTGGTCAAACATTACCGGTGTAATCGCAGCCTTTTACAGGCCTGTATTAACTCATTATAATTAACAATTTTTTTATTGTTCAAACATGACCCGTGGAATTGCAGCCCTCTACAGCGCTGAATTGATGCAGGGTTTACAATCAGGTTACAATCACATAAGAGTCAATCAATAATGACAAACAATCACATAATACATAGTTAATACTTGCTCACACACACACACACACATATTGGCTACCATTTTTGCACCAAAAATTGAAATATTTCAATTGAAAAAAAACTCGTGTGATCAAGTTACTTCCACTTTTCAACATATTTGAACGTGTGTAATTATAACATTTCTGATACTTATGGTTGGCGTTAAAACAGCCCATGGTCGAGGCGCGCGCACCCCCACAAACTACCAGAATGTGAACAAACATGGCAAACAACATATGTGTTCAAAATTTCAACTTATTAGTAAGTTATTTACACCACTAGTCATATTTTAGCACCTTCACTTCTTGAATGGCACTTATATGCAATGCAGTATGGTTGATTCAACTTTCTTTGTAAAGAAATGACGAGAAAATAGATTTTTTGTATCGTCCCAATGTTGCATATTTCATGACATATCTATGTAGAAGTGGTCGGTACGTACCAAAAGTTCCGCGGATTGCGACGAACACCACAAAAGCGGACAGCAACAGCCCTGTTCCCGGCATGTTGCTTGTTCTGAAGTCTGTGGAAGATCAGGAACACATACATGTTAAGCTTTGTTGTATTGCGTACTGTAGATATCGAAATATTCACGGTGTGTTTCTTTACATCGAAGCTAACAAAAGCAGGCACATACATGTATTGTCACACCATCGTAGGCTCCCAGAAAAAAAGAAAGAAAGGCATGCATGTACGTCGGTTCATTTTAGCAGCCCGATCACTGAAAAAGCCACACCAGGCGACCTATGCCTGAGATGGGCTAACGGGACCATTTGATTGCATTACTAACACACCGCGTCATAATGCTATTTGAAACATATATTAATATCTTTAAATTACATGTACAGTAATAATTGAATGGCATTTTACAATATGAAAACACTACACTTACACAAACTGGCCACCCCGTCCAAGAATATTAAAAAAACATCTACTGATCTTCGGATAAAAAAGGAAGAAATTTCACAGTGCGCATATTTACGTGCAATCGAAAATACTACTTACACAACTTAAAATGAAGTAGAATGATGAAAATTAAGGAAATTGTACCGTATAGATTTCTTAATTGTAGGCATCCAATGCGATTTCAGGGGGGCAAAACTGGAATAAGGCAATCTTTGTGATATTGACACATACTGCTTCACACTAGCACATTTAAATCAGCATTTCATACTTTGGTCATTTAAAACTGCAGAAACAAAAATCAGCCCAGGGCCCTTCCAGTGACCATTTTCCGTCAGAATTTTTGAAACTTTTGCTCCAGGAGGTGTGGGATAGTTTCAACTCAATATGTAGACGAATGACTACTAGAATATCAACTTTGAAAAATTGGGCTAATAAGCCCCAAAACTGCACTGAATGCCTTTAAGTAATGTGTGTGAACATTTCTTACCGCCTGCTGTATCTCGTAAAGTTCCCACAAGTCGGACCCTGTTCTGTTCTGAAACCAAACTTGCTCCAAATCACGACCAGCTTGCCGACTCGACTGTCCACGGCCGGCTCTGACCGGTTTACTGGCAACTACTTATAACGGATCCAAGCTGTCCAGACCAAACTGCTATGAAACGGCTCTTCCTATTGGTTCACAGCCACAGTTTCTCCCTTTATCAACTAATATTATCAGCATACGTCATAAATATGGATCTGAAGAAGGGTCAGGTCGATTCTTGTGAGTTGTTGCGCGAGTCGCCTGTCCTGTTCCGTGGACTCTGTTTGTTACTAAACAATGGTGTGCGCAGGATGTGCAATTTTGGCTTGTACTCTCTTGATTATTTTCAAGGCCTAGCAGTATGAAAACAACAAGACTTTCTTCAACATCGAGTATAGAAAATAACAAATAAAAAAAAAGTTATGTCGTAACAAAGTAGAAGACACACAGAGCAACTGTGTTTGTCAATAAAAAATGATGTGCGTAGGATGTGCAATTTTGGTTTTTAATGTTTTGATCATGAGACCTGTGCATGTGTTGTCGTGGTGTAACAGTGTCAAAACAACAGTATTTTCTTCAACATCAAGCCTAGAAAAGCAGGAAAAATAACATCTTGTTGGGTCGTGTGGCGTAGTGGCAGCGTGCTCGACTCGGAACCAAGAGGTCCCGGGTTCGAGTCCTGACATGTCATCAATCTTGTGCCATTGGGAAAGTCCCTTTACACGACTTTCCTCAAGTGAAAATGAGTATTGTCCTGTCCTTTATTTGTCTTCAGCGTTGGTGGCGGCATAGAATATGATGAAATAAATGAGTGTCTAGTCATGACATGTTGGAATGAAAAAATAAAGTCTCTCATATGTCTGGGAAGATGTGGCCAGATATAATTATAAGGTCCTGTGGGGTGTCTACCTGTTACGTCCGAGCAGGACAGACGACGTGTGGCTTTGTTTGTTACCAAACAGTGATGTACGCAAGTCGTGAAATTTTGGCTTGTAGTGTTGTCGTTAGAAGACCTGTGTTGTCAACAGCAAAACGTCGATTTTTGACCTGAGCGCTGACCCAATATGTATTTTAATATCACATTTCAAATAAACACAATGTAAATGATCTAACCCGGTACATGTACAAATCCTTTAAACGTTTTCTAGCCTCCGTAGCAGGCTTTTATAGAACTGGGGGTTTGGTGGTCTTCGGCTGTTTCTGATTAGCCCAGTTGTAAATGGAGGTATTCAACCAGGCCGGCTACGTTGCCTATATGCAATGACCCTGAAGACCCCCCAAACCCCCAGTTTTTGGCATGCTGTGGAGGCTAAACGTTTTCGGTGCAGAGTGTAGTGTTGGTAAAAGACATATTCCTACGCTTTGTGGAATATGTTCTATTTGATATTAGGCCATGTTGATTTGATTATATGGATGACATCCGCGCGCGCATGAATTTTCGGCCGTTTCCAAAAAAAAAAAAGTTTTCAACCATACTGTTAATCGTACAAAACAGTTGCAAAATGAGCAAAAATATACCATAAGTTCCGAAAATAGTTTCATCAGGTTGGTAAAACTTAAGAGATATGGGAATTCTTTTTACACAACCAAAGAGTCTCACCTCGCTGACGTTTCGGTGTCTGTCAGACACCTTCAGAGCTTCTGACTGGAGTACTGCATCTCGCCGCTATATGTAGCCGATGTAGGTGGCGCTTTTGCGGCGAGAACACTATCCCAAACGTGGCTTAGTTTGTACCCCCCCTCGTCCCGGTTCATTACAGGGGTTGACTTTCTGATCCAAACTGCCTCCTTGATCCAGCGGGTCCTTCTATTGTCTTCTCTGTCTATAACTTTCGCCCCCTCCCAGTCAATTACGCAGTTATTTCTAGCAATGTGATCTGTCACTGCTGATTTCTTTTCTTCTTTTTGTGCATGTCTTTTCTGTGATCTTGTGTACTTCACTGTGTCCATGTTGTCAGCTTCCTTCTTGTGTTCTTCTAATCTAGTCCCAAATGTGCGTCCCGTTTCCCCTATGTAAACTTCACTGCAGCTCTTGCACGGGATCTTGTATATGCAGTCCGTTTTAGCCGTGTCCTGTAGTTTTGTACTTTTTGGGTGGACCAACAGACTCCTCAGTGTGGTTTTTGGCTTTACTGCGGTGGCAATGTTGTGTTTTCTGAACACTCTTTCAAGGGGCTCTGTGATTCCTTTGACATAGGGGATGATGACCATGGCCCTCGTTTTATCTTCCTGCTTGTTGCTCTTGTCCTTACGCTTGGGTTGCTTACTTCGTTGTTCCACTTTCTTAAATGTCCATGGTGGGTAACCACACCGTGTTAGGGCTTTCTTGACATGTTCTGTCTCTAGTGCTTTGTCTGCATCTTCAGTGACTACTGCATTGCACCGGTCTAGTAAGGTGCGAATGACTCCGAGTTTTTGGTGAAGGGGATGGTGAGATTGTGAAGAGGGGGGTACAACAGGAACTTACAGATCATCTGAACAACACTGACCCTACGGGGAGTATCCAGTTTACACATGAAGAAGAGAAAGATGGCACGCTACCCTTCCTCGACACTCTTATGGTAAGGAAGGAAGATGGCACAGTGAAACTCCTAGTATACAGAAAGTCCACACACACAGACCAGTACCTGAATTTCCAATCTCACCATCCCCTTCACCAAAAACTCGGAGTCATTCGCACCTTACTAGACCGGTGCAATGCAGTAGTCACTGAAGATGCAGACAAAGCACTAGAGACAGAACATGTCAAGAAAGCCCTAACACGGTGTGGTTACCCACCATGGACATTTAAGAAAGTGGAACAACGAAGTAAGCAACCCAAGCGTAAGGACAAGAGCAACAAGCAGGAAGATAAAACGAGGGCCATGGTCATCATCCCCTATGTCAAAGGAATCACAGAGCCCCTTGAAAGAGTGTTCAGAAAACACAACATTGCCACCGCAGTAAAGCCAAAAACCACACTGAGGAGTCTGTTGGTCCACCCAAAAGACAAACTACAGGACACGGCTAAAACGGACTGCATATACAAGATCCCGTGCAAGAGCTGCAGTGAAGTTTACATAGGGGAAACGGGACGCACATTTGGGACTAGATTAGAAGAACACAAGAAGGAAGCTGACAACATGGACACAGTGAAGTACACAAGATCACAGAAAAGACATGCACAAAAAGAAGAAAAGAAATCAGCAGTGACAGATCACATTGCTAGAAATAACTGCGTAATTGACTGGGAGGGGGCGAAAGTTATAGACAGAGAAGACAATAGAAGGACCCGCTGGATCAAGGAGGCAGTTTGGATCAGAAAGTCAACCCCTGTAATGAACCGGGACGAGGGGGGTACAAACTAAGCCACGTTTGGGATAGTGTTCTCGCCGCAAAAGCGCCACCTACATCGGCTACATATAGCGGCGAGATGCAGTACTCCAGTCAGAAGCTCTGAAGAAGGTGTCTGACAGACACCGAAACGTCAGCGAGGTGAGACTCTTTGGTTGTGTAAAAAGAATTCCCATATCTCTTATACCATAAGTTACAAAAAAAATTAATAAAAACTATACCAATGTCGTAGAATGCCAAAATCAAACGAAAAAAGACGAAATTGTAAAGAAATGAACTTGAAGACTAGATTATTCGCCAAACCATATTCTGTGCCATTTGCTCAACCCTCATGACCACGTAGATTTCATAATGAAAAGAACTTTTTTTTTGCAAAACTTTTTTTTTATTGGCACGCGCGCGTCAGTTTTGGAGCTCCCGGAGGATGTCATCCATATAATCAAATCAACATGGCCTTATGGCTGATGTCTATGGTGATAAAACACTGAAAATATAGCAATATTTATACCACACATAGACCTGTTTAGTTGTTTATTGTCCTAGTCTTTGGTAAACATAGCATGCTTTCATCGCGGTCAAATGTTATCTTCTTTAAAATCCAGCAGAAACAAATTTTGCGCCAAAAGATATTGATATATTGATTGTGATGTGTTTTGTATACTTTGATGTGCGTAGGTGAGGAGACAGACACATCAATCATCCACAGGTAGACAACCTGTTATGTATCCATTCATTTATCATCATCTTCATCTTCAGTACTGCTTAGCCTTCTAAAAAGAAGATTACTAGCAGCTGCGCATTAGTACTGTGTGCAAAGTGCAAACAAAGGGTAAGGTAGGGGTGGACGTGGACAAGTGCAAGGACAGGACAAGTGAAATCAGTGGTGCTAGTGTTACACGTATTTACATATGTACAAGGACCGGGAGGCAGCTCAATGCAGCGAAGCCCGTCCCAGCTCTGCTTTGAACTGGGAGATGGACTTCGCCTCCGCCACACTGGGCTCAAGTTCATTCCACTCCTTGATGGTGCGAGGGAAGAACGAGAGCCTGTAATAGTTGTTCTTACTCGCGATGGTTGGTAAGTTTGAGTGTCCTGTTTGGTATCTTAAGTTTATTTACCACATTTGAACAAGTGTGCAGAAAGAATATGAGTTGCATACTTTCAGCATGTTTTTGTGTACAGTATGTAATGTATTGAAACATTGATGTATAAACCTTACAGTAGCTATGTGAAAAACATGTCTGAATATTTGTATATTGATTTTGTAAACTCAACACAATTCAGATGTCCATGTACTTCTGCCATGTCGATTTTATAATAGATTGAATATCGAAATACAACTTGCTTTTGTCAACCGTCACTTTGTTTTTGCTCATTTTTTATGCATTGATGTTTCTCTGACTAATAAAAAAACATCCACCAAACTCAGCACATAGTGGACTTTAGAAAAAAAAACCATCAAGCTCAGCACCTAAGTGTATATACAGCACTACTTGGATGCTACTAGTACTTGAAATGTTTAAACAGTTTTCAAAATTCATCTAGTTGCTTGAGTAACTGTTTTCTTGTGTGTAGTCCAGTTCGTAATTTTGCCAAGCTCAGTACCTAAGTGTGAGATCCAGGTTGTTTCTGTTGATGATTTGTTCAATGTCTTGCAGGTCGTCTTGCGACAGACTGTCAAAGTGTGTAGCCTGAAACACACCAGTTCCTAATTTTGCCACCAAGCTTAGTACCTAAGTGTTAGGTCCAGGTTGTTTCTGTTGATGATTTCTTCAATGTCTTGCAAGTCGTCTTGTGACAGACCATCGCAGTGATGCAGGCCAAGTTTCCTCAGGCTACCGTTGCTCCTCACAACGGGCAGGATTCCTCGTGTGGTCAGCCGATGGCAGTACCATAGCTGCAGTTCACGCAAATGTTGGAAGACATCTCTGTTTAACAACTTGATCAGCAGAGAGTTCGCCAATGTGTCAATCACTTCGGGTGTCCAAACTTGAATACTCGTCAGCTCAAGGAACTCAATTTCCTTGCACGTTGCCAGAAGGCTGCAAATGTCATTGGCTGGAAAGCTCTCTTCAACACTCTGGTACGGACCCAAGCGGAACAACATGAAGGCGCGAAGCCTCGGCAGTCCAGCTTCAGCCGGGTATATCCGTCCGGTGTTTTCGAAGTGGCAGCCGAAAAGAACAAGCCTGACCAAATTAGGAAACACAAAAGCGATTTCGGCAAGATCCACGTGATGGTAGCCGTAGAGTTCGAGTGCCTTGATTCGCCCACCGAGCGATTTGAATATGTCAATGCCATGTGGTGGAAAGTTTTCTGCATCTATGCTCAGTTCTTCCAAGAACTGCAGTTCACCCAGTGCTCCAACAGGAGGCACTGCTTCATACTGAACACCGTAATTGCTAAGATCAACACTCTTCAGTTTGGGGAAGAGGCGATGAATTTGCTCGAGCGACTCGTAACGTAGCGGAAAGTTTATCGTCTGAAGTTTGTACGTTCCCGAAGGCACGTCAGTTCCTTCGGGAGGAAAATCTAACATGTCTGCATCAAGTTTGAGTAAGTTAGGCCAACCTTGTAACGCGAAAAGGACGCCGTCTGATGTCATACTTGTGGAGGACACGTTGAGATTTGTGATGTTCCTACAGCCAGAGTTTAACTCGTCACCAGTACAGTACAGGGTGATGAGTCCCACGTCAGTCACTTGTTTGCACTTGCTGACGTTCAGGTCTTGTAGTGCCGGGCAGCTGGTGTGAAATGAAATAAACCCATAACAAAGTCAAACAAAGGTTTTTATTTACAGCCAAGCAGGTTTTACAAATTGTCAAACCTGACTGATTCTGATTCATACTGCATCTACATGTGTATGTCATCGAACCGTCCTCATGTAAAAGTCTTGGTTGTGAATATTTTGTTATACATGTACAGGTATTTGACATTCAGATGAAATAAACTGCATACATGTATTTACATTATATTATATTAATACTTTCAGTACCAGGTAATCTACATGTGTGCCATGACTAAAACACAAGATGTGGATTTTCAATAACTACATGCAGTTGTACACTCCAACACACTAGAAGAAAAAGAAGAAAATCATATTCAAACTTCTCATCTTATGAACTTACACACACACATACCTTACAGCCAGAGCTTCCATGAGGTCATCATTAAAAGGGCTGTCTGACACATTAAGTTGTACCAGTTTGCTGGTGGACCTCAGGACTGCTCCCATGAGCCTTTGTGCCATCAGTACGTCTCCACTCACTTTTACGCCAAGTTGGCGAAGTCCCTTCAAATACACATCAATGTTTATCAAATTGTGAAACTCCTTATATAAAACTCCAGTAAGTTACAGTAACTGAAAAGAAAAAAAAACAACTTTGGGTATCAAAGAAGGCCATTGGACATGGCCGAAAATTAGGCGAGTCATCTTTCTTTTGTGAGTATAGGTATAGGTGATAAGTAGAGTGGATTAATTCCTCAACTAATAACTGACATCTATCACACCACAGTTGTTCCACTGAGGAACTTTCTTTAAGTTAACTGAGGGACAACTGCCGTGTGCTAGATGTTGGTTAGCCAGGCAGCAGAATCTTCATCCTGTTGAAGGCAGCCGCCTTAAAAGAAAGAAGAAAGCATGAGGAAGGAATCCACTCTACTCCACTTTACCTTTGCCATCTTCAGACATGATATGCACTGTTCGATCAGCTGTTCTGTGAGGTCCTCATCGCAGACGTAGATGTTGAACCTCCTCAGATACGGGTGTAAGAACTGAAGGGACTCCTGGGGAGATGTGGGGATGGTCTGGAGGAGGTCTTCTACAATGGACAGTGCTGGGAAAACATTAATTATGGAGACATCTTAAGTTGTCCAATATATAAAATATCAAATAGAATTACAACTAGAAAGGTAACATTTGCAAAGCAAATGCATATGTTTACCTTTCCAAATGGTCGGCTCTGTTAATTCTTACTCAAGCACGTTCACATATTTGGTGACAGGAGTCTAAATCCCTCCTACTATAAAACTGCAACATGATGTAACCCAACACCAGTTACCATGGTGAGAGACAGTCTGGTTCAGTTAGGTCAGAGGTCACTGTTTGGAGAAAAAGGAGAGGAAATGTAGCCAAAACAATATGTTTTCCTTCGGTAAACAGATTATTTCGGGTATGTTAAAGCCTTGACAACTTACGCAGTCTCCTAACTAGCCTGTTGACTGTTGTTCCCTGCTGCTGGCTGGCGGTCTCCAGCCTTCCAAAGTCCCGGAAGTACGACAGGCACAGAGACCTCAAGGGTGGTACCGGCTTCCGGTGGGGCATCCTGAGATTTTTATTCCTGTTGGTTCAAAGGTTTAATATCTCAAAAAATGATTTGTATGTGATAAGGCAAGATGTTTAAAACGTTCTTTTAGTCCTACAAGTACAACTGGTCAGGTCAGTAGCCTCTACCAGGCTTCAGAAGTGGCTGGAAAGAGTAATAATTGGCCACGTCTTAAGCCTTGCAGAGGCTATGCTTTACCCATTTCTTTGTGTCTTCCTAAGCGCCCCACTATAAAGACAACACCTAAACACTGAACTCAACCCGCTACATCTGCTTTGAGATGGCTCTCTGCGTAGTAGTGAGATACTGTGTTACGGGAACGCCCCCTCCCATTTATGAAACGTTATATGCATTTAGTCTACGACACCAACATACAGAATATTGTCTAGTGCCCACCCATCATAAAACATGGGTCAACATCCAACGTATCCAACTGTTACATACGTATTAAATCAAATTTCCTCACCAAGAAATTCCTAAGTTGCACGTCCTACCAAGGACCTTGGTCCGACTGACCATGACAAATTATTAGCTACTACCTACCTTTTCAGTTGTAGAAACCCATTTTAAGCACAAACAGTTGCTTCACATAGACACAGAACTGTGCAGGCTGTTTCAGACATGACGCAACGTTTCCAACGCCCAAGAATTTGTTATGAAAATACACTACCATATCCAGACATGCCAACAGCTGACAACTGCGGTCAATTCACGGTCATAGTTCAGAGGTCAACGATTTAGCACACCATCATAGTGTCGCGAACAGTTCGCTTGTTGAGTAAGGCATGACTATAGGATGGATTCCCGTCTTTCAGGCTAATAGGCATGTATTACGGGACTCTCGATAAACTAAGTCGGTTTCCTTTACCAGGCTTCGGGAGGCGGCTGGAAAGAGTAGAAATCAGCCAAATAGAGAGATAGCATGCCAAGGGAGTTGGTGTGCCGGAGAGAACAGTTTGGGCATATTTCTACTTTCCAGCCGCCCCCAGAAGCCTGGAAGAGGTTAGGTTTCCTTAATTACTTGTACGTGAACAATTCAAGTGGCCTTAGAAAAAAAGGAACTTTTGACAACACGAAGCCTTTCTTTGTCTTTTATTAGCCATTGCATGGTCTCTTTGGTAACCGGAAATGAAAGCCAGTATTACAACTCAAGCGTCTAGTACTCTTTGTGTTACTAAGCCTGAAAGGGTCACATAGTATGTAGCATATATGAACTACATTTTGTACCTTGAACAGAACTCAAAAGTTGGTGCATCAGCAGAAGTGAGAAGTATCTACAACTTACAAGAAGTGCTCAAGAGTTTGAACAAAAGATTAGACTTCTGAAACCACTGATGGTCAAAACAGTGAAGTCTTACTTTAAGAAATAACCAAGGTATCTGTTATATTTATGAATTTCAAGTTTTCAAACACTTTTTTTCAAAAGAAAGTACAGTGGAGTGAAGAAAGAAAGATGCACTGCTATGGCTATTTCAGGAAGTATCATACTTAGAATGTGTACTTGCTAATAGATGTTAAACTACAAAGGACCATGGACTTATTTGTCTACAAAATTGGCTCTAAGTCGTTTAGAGGAAGATGAACTACACAACGTGAATTGTGGTCATGAAATATCCAACATAGTTATTTCACCCATTTTCCCCTCACACTTGGGTACAACAAAGGCATTTTCCTCCCAAGAGTTGTAGGCAAACCTCTCAATGCTGGATCCAATACTACAGTATGTCTTATATTTCCTTCCAACACTTCTTGCTGAAGGGAATTTTATTAGTTCAGTTCAGTTGGCATTGCTTACAAAATCCTTCATGTCATGTTCCTCTAAACACTTTCTGGTCTAAAAATACTCTTTTGAAACAATTCAGCATGGAGTTGTTCACAATGTAATTATTATAGTGAACGAAGGGCGCTGTATCTATACAAAGTTTTCATGTATTGTGAGGCCCTACATTAGGTATTACTTGAGGGTGATTCTTATAGCTGTGGGTTTTGCAGTGCTCTTACTATGTATGTACGTGTGTATGTATGTGTTACACTGCCTTGAAGAACAGAAAAAACGTTTCACCAATATAGATGCATGGCAAGAGACCATGCTCATATTAACCTGAGGATACATAATGTAACAAGAATGCTTGGAACGTTAACAATCTAGTACAAAAAGTGCTCTCTGTGATATTTTCACTTTGTACGCATAACCTGTATGTTGAAAATAGACTTGTGATGCAGTGTGCTACACCTTACAAGAAAAAAAACAACATATCATTGAATGTAAAGATGGGCCTTTGCAGTATAGGCCATTTGTTACACATGGGACAAAATGTTTAGAAAGAAAACTTTCCAGATATTTGAACTGGGAAGAACCTAAAGGCTTGTGTAAACCTGTATGTTTGAGAAATTTATGCTGCTGCTATCAAAAGCTATGCTTTTGGTTAAGTGTCGTATCTCTTTTTGAATCACTCTTTACATTATTGGCAACATGGCAAGCATGCCTGCATATATAATATGCAAGTTCTTTTTTGTAGTTGTGGATTGCCTTCCAAATACACGTATCATTCATCAAATTGAGCTTTCTCCCAGCTAATAAAAAAATCCATTAGTCTATGCAAAGCAAGTAGAAAATAATATGGCTACAAAGAGGATTTCTTATAAACCCTAAGTTGGACACTTGATACAAAAGAAATTCGCAGAAAACTAGCAAAGCAAAATTGCTGGGAGAATGGCTGTAATATTCTTTAATATACTAAACATCTAGGGTTCCTAGGATTGCAATATGCCTTGTAATACTTGTTTGACTTTAAGGGATGCCAAAGGTCAAGATTTCAGCAATATCAACTATTGCAACAAATTGGTCATGTTTAGAGGGTTCTGATTATGAATTTACAGGAATTGCAAGCTTTTTTGGGGGGGGGGGCAGTGATTGTCATAAGGATAACTGCCAGGAAACTCTAGATCCAATCAAAGCACTTTGCACTGATGTAATTTTAAATCATTGCTCCTCTCCTGAACACTTCCACATTCTTTTTCTTCTTGTGCAATTTTGTTGTTTTTTTTTTCATGAATTTTTTTTTTGCACAGTTTTTTTTTTGAAATGCAAACAGCATGGCAGGATTATTATATTTCCACATGCAGGCTTAGTTAGAAACCTTGTTCTGTTTTTTGTTGTTTTGTAAATTTTGTAATTTTTTTTCTCGGTTTATTTCTCAAAGATTACTATCATCCCAGTATCTACAATTTGTGATCATCACACATATAGGTGTACTCTTCTCATCATGATCACTACTTATTGTCGACTTTTTCAAATTTTTCAGCTTTCAAATGAAATGCTTCCGCAATAACCATTTTGGTTGGTTTTTGAAAGACTAGTCACCTACTCTGAGAAGACAAGTTAGTTGTCAATAAAAAGTACATACGTTAATCTGAGACATATCCCCTTCATTGTTCTTGTAGAAGGGGCAAAACTATCATTCCATGGAATTCGTACTTCTGTATGCATCCTAGCCGAATGCTTTGGCATCGGGAATTGATGACTGTACCCATCACCTCACCACAAAGCATCATGGGAAATAGCAGCAGAAAGGCATGCGCCCGGAGACAATTTTCAATTCCAAGAAAGAATTTTCAATTCCTGGAAAAAAATTTCCCATTCCAGAAAAGAATTTTCAATTCCTAGAAAGAGTTTTAAATTCCAGAAAAGAAATTCTAATTCCAGAAAAAATTTCCAATTCCAAAGAATTTTCAATTCCCGGACAGAAGTTCCAATTGTAGGAAAGTTCTTCTTATTCTTGATTAAAGATTACATTGTCATATGAGGAGAGAACTTTGCATACCAGCAGCAGATGCAAATAAAAAAAACCTGAATCTTAAGAAGTTAAGTTATCATGTTGTCAAATTGTCTCGGGAAGTTGTAAATGATAATCATGATCTTTAGAGTTTAGGATGAACTTTTGGGAACGTCCCCACACTGGAGAGTATCACAGATGCATACAGCATTCACAATGTCAAAATACAGATGTACACCACAAATGTAATTCCTTCCATTCCAAGAATACTCCTCCATGATAGTATGATCAGAAACAAGTGGAAGTCCCTGAACTTTCTCTCTATAGTTCTCATGAATACAAACACATTTTCCCATGATGCTTGGTTGGGTGAGTTAAATCAAAATCTCAAACTGACATGACACGTGATGATCAAAATATAACATCTCCTTACCCTTAACAAATGTCACGTCAAGTCAGGTACATCTTTTAGCTCAGATAGAAAAGTGAGACATGAAATATTGCAGAATGGAATCAAATACTTCACAAGAGAGTATGGCCAGTATATCCTATAGAAAGAGAAATGACAGAGGACATATAAGAGATGCTATTAGCATGTTTTTTATCCTGACTTTCTAAGATTGGTGTTGAAGAAAGCACTCTTATTTTTATGCAGTCAGGCCTAAAACCTTGTTTTCACTGAATTGAAAGTTATGATAAAGTTATTGTTCACCTACTACTACCAGATTTTGTTCACAGAGTTACAATTAGTATTTGAAGTGTTATGCAGGAAGAAAGCAGAATGTTTGCACAGAAGAAAAAGACAAAGCCGGAAAAAGAAGATCAGACCAAGGAGTGTGTGACTGTGAACTGCTGGTAAAAATGGCAGTCACAGTTTACACTACATGTATGTGGCTTGCTTTAGTTTAGTTTTAGTTCAGGACAAATCTTAGTTTGAATTTGAAGCGTTGGTGGTGGTTGCGTTATACTTGGTTTCTGTTACTACACAGCAAAGTTGCTGTGGTCACTTGGTACAGCGGTGGTAGTGCTGTTCGTCGTTGTTGTTGTTGTCTTGAGTTCAGTTTCCGTTGGTGGTGCTGTGCCCATTCATGGTGATGTCGTTAGGGGCCTCTCCTGAAACAAAAATTCTATCCGTAAGTAATTTCATCAGGTTGGTGAATGATTGAATATCAAAGGTCTTTATTCACAACCACTTGTTAACAAGAGCCAGCGTTTTACTCAAACACATTCACATTATATATATGATGACAGCAGTTTAAATCCCTCCTACTATAAAACTGCAACATTATGTAACCCAACACCAGTTACCATGGTGAGAGACGGTCTGGTTCAGGTCATTGACCAGGTCAGATGTCAGTGTTTGGAGAAGAAGAAGAAACTGAGCAAAAACAATTATGTTTTCCTTCTGTAAACATAAATATAGACCCCATGAAATCGGACTGTTGAAAAAACTTGAGTGTGCTGTCACCACGTCTTGTGATTACATGTTGGGATATAAAAAAAAAGTGGACTGACCAGGCTTGTGGGATGACCTCTGGAAGATGAACCCCTTGGAGTTTCCGGAGTCGGGCCCCTTGGGTTGGCGCAGCACGACGAGGCGCGGGCCATTGTCATTCTCCACGTTCACGGACTTCAGCCGGTGCAGCAGCCGTTCCGGACGCGCCGTCACAACGTCACCCCCTGCAACCTGGCAAGGGGAGAGATAAATTTTTCAATTTTAGTAAAATAAAGACAGCTTAAAAGAACCTTTCTGTGCCACTATGAGAATCATTTGGAGGGCTACCTACATTGTATAGGAGCTTAGGATTCTTTTAATCACCATGAAGGGTACCATGTGCAAAGCAAATGCATGTTTACCTTCACATACACATTCATGTATGTGGTAACCAGCCCCCAGTTACCCAACACCACAGGCTGTGTGTGTGTGGCATAACTCGAGATGCCTTACAATAATTATCTTGCTATTTGGTATGTGGGTTGGTCTTGATGCAATTATATTTTGGCCCCTGGCGGCTTGTTACGGTACTGCAGCAGAAGTTTAGATACCCACCTTTTTGACACTGCAGGCGCTGTACTTGCCGCTCTTCTGGTTACACACCACCACAAACTCCACCTTGTCTCCCGGCGACAGGTCACTCCCATCATGCACTTCACTCAGGTGGAAAAACAGCTTCTTGTTGTCTCCAACCTCGTAGTTGATGAAGCCAAACTGTGATGGAAAAACGGGATAAACATTAAAGACAAACGGTGCTACAGATTATTATGATATTTGGGTTGCAGTACAACTGACAAGACTGGTGCAATGGTCAAGTGGGTAGAGTGCTTGCCTTGCATTCGGTAGGCTACTAGTATGAATTCGATCCCCGCGCGAGTCATACCAAAGACTTTAAAAATGGTACATACTACTTTCTCTACTTAGCACTCAGCATCTATGAGCAAGAGTATGGGAAGATCAAACGCACAACACTACCAGCAGACTAGCCCCTTCTGAAGTGCTTGCACAACTGTGTGGCCCAATGGCAACAGAAATGGAGCTTAGCACCACCGCTATGCTCTGCAAGGAGTGGAAAGGGTCCTTCTCTCTTCTCTTCTCCAACTCACCTGTCCCTTGATGGTGTCGACAGACCCTCGGACCCGTTTCCTGACTGCCTGCACCCTGGCAGCGCGCTCCTCCCCGCTCGAGCCGGTGGCCACCTGGAAGTTCACCACGTCGCCCTTCTGCAGGAATTCCCGCTTGTCCGCCAGGCTGGTGATGCCGTACGGGAAGGTCTTCGCATCACCGTTCTCCGACCCATCTGTGGTCAACAGGAGAACAACAAGTTAGAACAGGGTGCAATACAGTAAGATAGTATTTTAGACTTTTCAAACTGGATAAAAGTTTAATAACCAAACGTTTCATGTGTTCTTCCGACACCCTTCAAATACTATCTTATTGTTACTACCCTGGATGACTAATCTTCACAAACGTATAGAGTGCAATACAGTTTTGTTTCAATTTTGTCAGAGACTTTGTCAGAGACTGCCCCAATGGCTTGAGGCACTGTGTGTGTGTGCGGGTGCGAGTGTGTCTGTATGTCTTTGTGATACACACAAAGAAAAAAGTATATATTTTGTACATACAGCTCAAGAATAAATTTAGATACTGAAAGTCTGACCTTCATGTGTGACCTGAATCAGCCCCTGGTACTCGGGCTGCTGTGGGTCGATGCTGCGCAGTGGACGGACCACCTTCCCGTGGAGAATGGTAGGGTCCGTTTCCTCTGCAACGATGGTTCCGGGGGCCAGGCGGAAGATCCGCTCGGCCGACACCTTGTTGTTCTTCCTCACCGTGCTGTACTCCACCTCGTCACCCAGGTCAAGTACTGAGATGTCTCCATCAAACTCACTGGAGGGAAACATATACTCATTAAACTCAATGGAAAAGTCCTCTACAGTTTAGTGCATTAGTTTTGCTTCTATTAGGAAAGAATATTATCTAGCCCACTGTCATGTCTCCATCAAACTCACTGGAGGGAAACAAAAAATCAGTAGGAAAAGTCCTCTTTGGTACAGTGCATGTATGTTAATTTCTCTAATTCACCAGAGGACAACACATACTCATCAGGACGAAATTTAATCTGTCACGGTAACATTTTAAAGATTCAAAGCTATATATTTGTACATACAAGTAAAACTTGGTTTAGAAGATTAACCAAAAGCTTGCTGGTAAGCATCTAACTTGTGTGTATGATTATAGAGTTTTAAATCTTCATGAAAAATACTTATCAGGAAAACTCTTTTCTTATTTCTAAAAACATCATAGACCAGGTCTGACCTGAAGTGGAAGAATATCTCTTTCTCGTGATTGGCGGTCTCGATGAAGCCAAAGTTGTCCTTCAGCGTAGCGATGAAGCCCTGCAGCCTCTGTGCAGACGGGCGGTTCAGTACCTTGATGTTCACAGCTAGTCTGGTCCCTGTCTTCTTCTGCTCGGACACGCTGAATTCAACCTAAGGTAAGGCAGGCTCGTGGTTAGGGTTGTTGGCTTAGATCTGAAGGTTCTGGGTTCGAATCCCTAGCAGGTCGCAATGTTGTGCCCTTGGAAAAGGCACTTTTTACATATTTTCTCCCTCAACTCAGGTGACTAGTTATTTTCCTGTAATGTGGCCTGACACAAACTTTATCATTTTATATTATGTCTGACCCTTACAGGTACATGTACTTCTTCCTTCATGGCCTCAAAGGATAGCAGCCTGCAGGCTGATTTGAGCTTCTCACAAATAAAGAATGGTTCAAACATACAAGCAAACAAACAACCCGGTGTGGCGTCACATGGCGTAGTGGTAGGGCATTCGGCCCAAACCTTTTGCCCTTGGGAAAGGCACTTCATACAAATTTCCTCACTTCACTTGGGTGTACAAAGTGAACAAATATAAGAAAAGTGAACAAATATAAGAAAAGTGAACAAATATAAGAAAAGTGAACAAATATAAGAAGAACCAACCTGGTCGCCCTGTTGAGGTGTTGATCGTGGGTCTGTGTCCCGGAGGTGGTACGTGATGGTCTCCTTCTCCCCACAGATGTCATACAGGATAGTCCCCAGCTCAAGGTCCCTGTCCTGCTGTGGAAATCAGTTACCAGTATCAGTTAAAGGCATCCAGTGAAGTTTGCAAACCCGAGTCAATATCCTAGTCATTTATCTATATGTAAATATTTAGTTGAAACCACACTATCCCCATGTATATTGACCCTCATGGAGCAAAAATTCCCAAAATTTTGACGGAAAATGGTTACTGGAAGGGCCCTGAGCTGATTTTAAGGGTACCATCCAGAAAAAAAGGACTAGTCGTGTGTTTTCTTCTTCTTTTTGATACTCTCGAAAAACCCCTACTGGGGTATTTTGTGTTTGATTTATTTTTGGACTGTAGCAAAAGCATTTTTATCCCTCACCTGTTTTTTGGGACTCTTGGAGCCCTTCATGTTGGGCATGCCTGCGGAGACGGCCTCCTTGTCGACCACGCCCAGCAGTCGCTCGGAGGACACCTTGTGGAAGGACACGGTGCCCTTGGGGAGCGGCTTGATGCGGATGGCGTGGTTCCTCTGCGAAGAGGACGGGTCCTGCGACAAACGGGAATCACACTCCTACTAAAAATCAGCAGCTGTTCAGCGACAAGTGGATGGGGTACACAACACAAAAACTTCACAAGGCAAGGCTCGAAATAACATGTCCTGCATATGTAGCTTAGTGCAGGTATTTCTTATGTTTACCCGAACCTAAATAGCACTGGCCCATGTACTGGGTTTATGTCTAGTATACATGTACATGTAGATATGTGTGGATTTCTATTTCCTGTATTGACCGTTCACAGACACATGGGCAGGGTACACAACACAAAAACTTTGCAAGGGAAGTTACAAATGTAAAGAAGCAATATAAAACATCATAAATTTGAGTACCAATTACTTTCACATTGACACTCTTTGGCCTACAGCTGGAGAAAGGATGGCGATACTTACCGGAACAACAGTAAACTCCACTTCATCTCCTATGTGCAGTTCTCTCATCTGGAATTTGCCGGATACCAACAGTCAAATTTCACATTATCTTTGACTTTGCATTAATGAATCAAATGAAAAATACTGCAAAAAATTATCCTATACAGTTCCAAAAACACTTCCAATATGACAAGAAATATATTTGAACCAAACATAATAAAAACACTTAAAATGCAGCAATTGTTTCTTAAAGTATTGTTTAAAACCCACTGGATCCAGCAGTTCACTGAAGTGAAAGAACATGCGGGCATCTCGGTCCACACACTTGATAAACCCAAAGCCTTCCTTCATCGCCGCCACAAGTCCCTACAAACAAAATAAATGGCTGTTAGGACAGTTGTGTTGTTATCAAATTATAGAAATCTACTAACAACAACAATGATAACTAAAAAGGTAACATTTGCAGAGCAAAATGATACCATAATGTTTACCTTCACATATGGTCTGCTCTGTTGATCCTACTATAAAATTGCAACATGATGTAACCCAACACCAGTTACCATGGTGAGAGAGTATCTGGTTCAGGTCATTGACCAGGCCAGAGGTCAGTGTTTGGAATGGAAGAAGAAGAAGAAACAGAGCGGAAACGAAATCTATTTTGTGCCGTACCATCTCTCTCTTCTCTCCGGTAGTACGGAAGGTCTCCGGCAGTAGGTCGATGTTGGTTGCCCGCTGCAGTTTGTCTCGGCGGTCGGTGGCGATGTTAAACTCCACGATGTCCGCCACTTGTAGCGAACACTCCGACCGCTGGTCACGGTCGCCAAACGGGATGTCCTTGGTCCCGTCCGCGGCTTCGTAGGAAAGCCGGCCGGATAACGGGTCGCTCTGTTGGGAAGAAAGGAAGTCCTTGCAATGCAAAGCGAAAGTAAAATAAAATTTGTAAAACCAAGGCAAATCAGGCACATAAAAGCACATACTGTTGTTAGACTTTACTTAGACTGGATTTATAAATTGTTGATAATTGTTAGTTCCTGTCTGTTGATATTGTTTCTATTTTCCAATCCAAGTGAAATTAAGTTTGTAAACCAAGGCAAATCATGCAAGCACATACTGTTAGACTTGTTTATTTGTTTCTAATGGATATGACTTCACTTCTGTTGCTAATGTTATTTTGTTATTTCACAAGCTTATTATACATATGAGAGCAAAATACAAAATAAATTATAAAAATCCTTGCATGGTAACTGAAGATTTTACTTACACAAGGTGCATGTAGTTTTAAATTACTGACCATGACAACTTGATTTCTGTTCTTCATGCTTTTACATGCTTCATGCTATTATCATATCTGTGTGTCCATAGACCACAGAAAATTAGTCGCGAACCAGAATAAAACATGTTAACTTACCTGTCTGCGCTGTGGGCCCCGAGGAAGGGGCTTGATCACCTTCCCCCGAATCCGCTCGTTGCTGACATCTTCAAACACGACCGTGCCTTCTATCAGTTTCTTAATGTGGGTGGCCACCTCCTTACCCTACGGATATAAGGAAGGGAGGTCAGGGTTCCAAATTTTTTTGTCTCAAGTTCATCACCAAGCAACCTAAGCGAAAAGCTAGCTTGCCATCAAAATTTTAGGTTGCCGTCAACACTAGCTATTTTAGTACTTATTTTAGGAGGCAAGTCATACATGTGTAACCTATCAGATTCTGCATGTAAATGTCAATGAAAAGTCTATTGTTTATCCGTTAAAATTCCTACTTATCATCATCATCATCATCGATATCCCCCAATCAAGGTTCATGTGGCTACATTTTTATCCTGATACCAGATTTTCTAAAGCTCACTGTATCTATTTTTTGTCCGAACAAAATCACCACTATCAACATGTTTGATGGTGCATGTGTGTGTGTTTATTTGTTAGTAATGAATACCTTACATTTCTTACATTTCTTGTTGCAATACTGAACTCTACATCGTCTCCAAGCTCAATCTCACGGATGTCACCAGGGTACTCGCTGTAATGGAAGAAAATCTGCACAGAAATACAGGACATTATTAGACATTTGCTGTGCAGCAATGAAGGCTTGACATCCAGGTAAGAAGATACTAAAGTATCAGGACTTTTCAAACCTTTCTCTATCTGTATCTGTACAGCCAGTATAACTGTTTTTCGGTGCAACACAAGGCCACACCAATTTAATTTCTTGGTTAACGGATTCGCCGCTTCATTTTTTTCTGATTTGCAAATAAAAATAAAAATTCAGAATCAACTGCAAAATGCTCATATTTTTCCCTGAACAGTTGAAAACAGTCCTTTTCTTACTACTTGTTACATTTATTATATCTTTCAATGCAGTGGTATCATTAAAAGTTCAAAATTCATTGTTTAAATTTTGAACCAGCCTGGTGTGTTGACTTCATAGCTCCTATCGTACCATTTTGGGCCATAATAGGATGCCTAGGCCTGTTTTTATTTTTATTTTTTTTTCGCCCGCCCGCTCCATTATTTTCCTAGAAAAGAAATTAAATTGGTGTGGCCCAAGCTTTTTCTTTTTGACAATGGAAGTTAGACATCCGCATCCAGGTAATAAGATGCCAACATACCAGTTACTCAAGCAACTGGATAAATTCTAAAAATAGTAAGACATTTTAGGTATAGGACTAAACCTCTGTACCAGTATCTGTAACCCAATGTTACATTTACAAATGTATGTACACAACTGTATTCTGGTAGTATTCACTACCTTTCGTCAGTGACTTTTTCTGCATGCTTCCAGGTTTACATTTCAAAGGACACTTCTATTCTAATCACCTCTTTCACGACGTCAGCCCTCTCGATGAAGCCGAAGGACTCCTTCATACTGCAGACCACGCCCATGTAGCGCTCCACAGGCACGGAGGAGATCAGCTGCACTTTCCTGGCACGCACATTCCCGTTCCTGGAAACAACACGGCACACACAAACACAGGCTGTCAGAACTCACGCTTTATACACAACAAAGTGTTTACAAACAAATTGTTTAGAGTAGTAGTTCAGATACAGTCAAACTTCCCAAGAAGACCACTCAGGACTGATAAAATCTGGTCTATGTGGAAAAGTGGCTACTACATTGTAGTATAGACAGGATTCTTAATGCTTCTGTCAAAGGGAAAAATTATCTAAGGGGCCACCAAAAAGTGGTCACATTGGTCAGGTGGTCCTTCTACATAGTAGGTGGTCACTTGTACAGGTCTGACTGAACTACTACATGTACTCTAAACAATTTTGCAAAAAAGAAGACATTGCTTGTCACAACAACTATTGTAAACACCTAAACTGAGCCAGAAAGAAACTTCATCTATGTTTGTTAAGAATTGTGAAGATGGTAGGGAAAGTTCTTCACACAGTGCACACTCACTCACACAATACAGTCACAAAGTACTGCAATTCATTAGTACAAAATCTGAGACTCTTCGCTCCTCTTTCATGTGCCTAGGAAAATACATGGCACCAAAATGTTTCCACTATATCACAGATACATGAACTAATGATGTTAGAGAAAGTACAGAAGTGGAGATACACAACAAACAATCTACCTGCACAGAACTCACCTGAAAAGAGACCAGGCAAGTATGTACTGAACAAAAGGGGTAAGGCATAGGAAAAAATGTTGTAAAAATTAGGATCAGTAGAGTAGGGATTTTCTTTTTCTTTCTTTTTTTCCAGACTTGAGTGATCTCTAGTGATCCAATTTATACAATACAGTTTAACCATGTGGACACTTTTCAATGTCAATGTTGGAAAACTGATTGTACAACATTTCATCACTCAGGTTTCACATCATGGAGCTAGAAAAAGTCAATCAGATTGAAAAATTGCAGGGGTTCACTTAAAATAAAGGCCGTTTTTTCCTTCGGGTCGGTTGGACAACGGAAACACAACATTTTTTTCCTAGGCCAAAAGGGAGGAGAGGAAGCGTGAGTTACCTGGGATCCGGCACCACCTTGGCCGGCTTGTCTCGCCACGATTTTTGCTGAGCGTCCTCCACTCTGTATACAGGAGGCAGACGGGCTGAATAAACTTATCAACCAAAACTATTAACTTATCGACCAACTGACCTGACTGTACGACCACGTAGCAACTGTGACCACTTCCTCACAGTACCTTACGTACATGTAACCACCTTTCATACTGGCATCAGGCCATACTACTGTCTAGCTTCACATACATATTATTGCCTCAATTTGAGGCCAATTTCTGTATATTTCTTGCATATTCACACTGTATTAAAGTAGCAAAGAACGGTTGTAGGGTTTCTTTTCTTCATTTTCGCCAAGCTGACTTTAACAAAATTTGAAAAAGTTAAGAAAAAATGGGAACTCATCTTTTGCAAATTATCTCTGGGAAAATTTGGAATTGTAAAGTAATAACATGTCAGTTTTGTATCAATACAGCTCTAAGTTTTCTTTAGTTCTAGCAGCTTTTACTTGCTCCTGTACCTAAAAAATTTGGGAAATAGTATGGCCTGGTTCTATCATTCCATAACAAAGCCAACCACACATATCATGCAGTGAAGAAAAATGCCCTGGAACCCACCTGACAAAATTGTATAATACCACATACATGTAGTAACCTACAAGGAATTGGAGCTTACTTCATCTTGTGTCTGTCTATCCATGGATTTATGTTGGTCCAAAAATCTGCTAACATATACAATGCAGGATAAAATGTACCTTACCTACTCTTTCCTACAACCTGGACTTGCATTTCCTTAATAAACTCAAACAGTTTACCAGGCAACAAAATGTCAATTAAATATGGACTAATTTAGGAACAACCCAGGGGAACATGTTGGTCTTTATGCACTAAAGAGTAAAAACAGCTGACATGCATTGCTAAAAAGTTTAAAGGAGCACTGAAATTGGGGGGAGGGTGTTATCTAGCAATAGGATAGGAAAGATTCTGCATACTACTTCAGAATATAATGAGCAGTCGCAATGACATGGCCAGCGAGTGGTAGGCAAAAAGTGGGTAAAAGTTGGGTGATTTGCCCACAAATAATTTGCATATGCATATGCAGCAATTGCTCAAATACAATAAAGTGAAACGCTTAAGAGAAATACATTGTACTACAGGGAATGCATGGGTAGGAACTGTATATATGTAGTGATACTGACATCACTATGAAAAACATTGGAAAGAAGAATACTGCTACTAAAGTATGTTGAATCTATTCGTTGATGATGCATCATCCATCGAAAGACAACACCCACCTCCTTACTTCAGTGCTCCTTTAAACTTAAAGATCAAACTGTAAAACTGTGGGGTAGGTAAGTCAACAGTCATGCTGTCTATGTAACATGGGTGCAACTAAACATTTCACAGCAAGGCTGGAGGCTCCTGTACATGACACATACTGGAACGTTACCCTCCCCCCAGAAGGCACCAACCTTTTGTCAGTTGCGATGAAGAAGGAAACTTCGTCGCCCTTCTTCAGCTGAGCGCCGCCCTCCACGTCTTCCACGCCGTACGGGATGTAGAAGTGTTCCCCGGCCTGCTCGTACGAGACGCGACCCATTTCCGTGGGCTGCGGCGCAAAAATAAGTACATTTTAACACTTTTATTTATGTACTTCTATGGTTTTTTTACCAGGCTGGCTCTCCCAGTGACTGAGTATTGCTTTTCAGAGAAGACCTTGTGTACATTGGTTGAAGGACAAATAATAATTAAAAGTGATTTCAGTTTCGATGCCTTTTAACCAAAAATCTTATTTGCAGAAGGTGATCCATTGGTTTCTACCAGTCCCACACACATACATGTAGGGGTGATATTTGACCCAAATCCATGTTCACATTTGATGACTGCCTATTCCACCAGGACTGGCAAAAAAGGATTTTTGGTTGAAAGGCACCAAAACTGAAATTACTTTATTTGTCATTTAGAGGATAGAAATACATCCACATTGTAGGTACAGTTAAACCTGCCAAAGAAAACCACTCAAAGGACTGATAAAATCTGGTCTATGTGGACAGAATTGTCACTATAGACAGAAATCTTAATGCTTGTGTGAATGTAAATAATTATCTTAGGGACCACCAAAAATGGTCAAATTGGTCAGGTGGTCCTTATGAAGAGTTTTTCACTTGTGCAGGTTTGACTATAAAAGCGATGAGTGTTTTAGTGAGGTTAAGTATGGAAGTTATTACTCCATATGAAGATAGGCATGTACATGTTGTATCACCAAATACCTCTCCAAGAACCATAAACAATTTTCTCTTCCAACCATACAGAAACAACAGAGCCCACCACCAACAGGAGACCTTGTGTGCACACAGAGTACCCTAACCGCCATTTACAACTTTTTTACACACAGCAGCATACACTTTGGAGTAAGTTCTACTCTTGGGGAGAGCCATTTCATATCCTTAGGGGTGTTTCCAAGACCATCCACAACAACTTTCACCTCAACATGACCAATGAATCTCCCCTTATTCCACAACGAATTACAGTGCAAGTTGCTGCTATCAAAAAATAAACCACAGATGGAAATTCACAGTCACAAGATCGGCCAAAAAAGGTAGAGAGACAGACAGATGCAGCCTGGCCAACCCAAGCAACCAGATAACTGATAAGAGTAGGAAGTTGTATTTCCAGTTCCGAAAAGACTAAGTTATACACATGGTAGGTACCGGTAACTGTGGTTGCAACAGTAAAGGTTCACCACCATCACTCCATTTTCCAGAGTATGATGATTTCCCCATGTAACCCTCCAGCTGTGAATAAACAAACATTTATGTGCAACAACACAAAAATTAAAGAAATAAAAACTAAGTAAGTACACTACATATTAACTAACCAATAGACATCTTTAACAACCATGTGGCTGTCTTGATTTCTGTACCATATAAACTGATGAAAGAACTGAATATGGTTTTGTGAAAGACAAAATGCTAGGAGTGTTCAGTGTTTTAAGCAAATTATTACCACAATTCCAAAACAACTACTAATTTGTGTGAATGTAAGTTCCCATACCATTACAATATACGCAATTATGTCGCAATACCTTGTTAGTTTGCCATCATTAGTATCAGCACAGTTTTTGAATTAAGGTTACAAGAACAGACTACATGTATAAGAATAAATAATCCCAATCAAAACATTTCAACGATTCATGAAAAATGATATTTACATACAAATTACAATGACATCAGATTTAGAAAGAACATAAGTTAAGAACAGAAACATTAGTACAGAAACAAGACATTGCTGCTCTGGATGCAGCATCATCCACAAACATTTAGAAAGGAACAGAAAAGAAAGGAACAAAGACATCAGTGAAGAAAGTTGACTGTGACCACCACCTCACCCTAATAAAGAAAGATACAGCTCAATTTACAGTTACACCCAATAACGTTATAACTCTTTTTTTTTAAACAACGAAAACGGTTAAAACAGAAGATACGTACAACTCAACTTACAGTTACACCCAATGTTTACTGATATTACAACTGTATATAGTATAGAGGAATTTATACCTCAAGCTAGGTGACATCTAGCACACTGCAGTCGTTCCTCAGTAAGACATCTGTAGGTACATAGTTCCTGTTTAGAACTTAGGCTGAATAAAAGTTCTAAATGGGAACTATGCGGCTCCAGGTGTCTTACTGAAGGACAATTGTAGTGTGCTAGATGTTGGTTAGCTTGAGGAATGAAGCCATTCAACTATATACTACTGACATTACAACTGTTTTATTGTTGTTCTCTGAGAAGGACGAAAAACGGTTGAAACAAAAGCACACATGTACAGATAAGACTCAGGAGAGAGAAGAGAGTTGACAGGCTCAGCTGACAGTACTGTGTTCCTTACCCCTGACAACCCTGGCTCTCTCCTGTTTCCCACCTGGATTGCAACATAACCAACTTCTGCAGGCTGCAACACAAATTAATCAGGCTGGTTATACAACATGCAGATTCAGCTACAACATAATACAGCAAAAAAGCTGGATGTAGTTAGTAAAGAAGAACATAAACAGTAAAATATCACTGTGCAAAAGGCTTGCTGTGGCCATGGAGCAATTCAAGTATTATGAACAAAATAAAAAGACTTGTCTTAAATAAAAACATGCAGAAAGTATGGTAAGACAAGCAAGAAAATACAAAAACTTCTTCAGTTTTTACATCATATGCAACACATTTTTTCTTAACATGCCCTTTTTCTCGTGGCATTTTTCTCACAATTACTTATTTAAGTACATGTTGGCCTTTTTTGGCTTTGTATTTGTGCTGTCCTGTTTCAATGACCCAAAGCAAGGACAAGATCCAAGAACCAACAAATCAGATGAGTGTGTGATTTTTAATTTCTGTTTGTAAGAGTTTGATACTTACAGATTTGTTTCTAGCCGGTTTGGCCTCGGTGGTGACTAGTCCCATCACACGTTCCTCGCTCATGACCTCGAAGGTCACCGAGCCGGATTGTAGCTTGAGGACGCGGCAGGCGATGGGCTTCCCTGTGCGCTGGTCCAGACTCATCTCAAACTCTACCTCATCTGCCCAGGGAAAACATGTTACAAAACCATATCAATTATATTCAAAGACAATTCAAACTAGTACTACTGTTAAAATTTTTCAAAAACGCTATTTCCCACATTTAGACTTAGAGGGGCAATTTTCAACCATCTTTTGGCATAGTCATACATCTGTCATGTCTTCAATGCCAAGGACTGGTCATTTGGCTTTGCATTGAACAACACCGTTAAAAGAAAAATTAATACAAGGCCTGTAAATAGTACATTTGTGTGACAGGCTGAATAAAAGTTCTAAACAGGATCTATGCGGCTCCAGATGTCTTACTGAGGGACGACTGCGTGTGAGAGATGTCGGTAGCTTGAGGAATGAATCCTCTCTACTATAAGGCCTGTAAAGAGTTGCTAATGGTGCGTCCAGCTCACCTCCTGGTTTCATGTTGTCCACATTTCCCTTGTACTGACTGTAGTGGAAGAACAGGCGGGCGTCCCGGTCACAGCACTGGATAAACCCGTAGGAGTGGAGCAGTTTCTCAATGATTCCCGTCTCCCGTACACCGTTCACGCGCTGGTACACCGTGTCGAAGTTGGGCTGCGGGGAGTACATGGGGGACTGGGGGCTCTCAGGGCTGCTGTAGATTGCCACAGGTGATTGTGGAGTCTGAGGGAAAAAAATGATGTTTCATACAATGTAGGTAAAATGTGCATGGAACATTACATGTATTGTTTATCATAATGCCTCGTTAATTCATTCCCGGGTTCTCAGAACTTCTCAAGAGAATTTTTTCACAGTATTGGGGTAAGGTACAGAAGGACAACTATCCAAGGCTTACATCAAGTCCCAAAGATGTGACCACAGTATAGGGGGTCTGGTATTCTCCCAGAAAAATTTTCTTTCTAACTCATAACCCTCGAGACCCTATTATCTGCTTTCTAAGGCACACAAATTATGTTTCTCTTTGTTATAGCTTCATTCTTTAGTCAAATTCTATTGTTCTCCCCAAAAGATCTTTCATTCATTTATGCTTGAATGTAGATGCTAAATTTGTAGTCTTTTCTTACCTTCCACTGAGGATTGGCCATCTTTCAATCTCTTCTGTCAACACAAAGGGCAGTTTGGGAGTCTTGTCTAGTCTTGTACTTTTGGAGTCTCTGTCGTCAGAGGAGTCAAAGTCGTCAGGAGAAGGCCCTGTAGTACCAAATTTGTTGGTGGAAAGTTGCACCTTGCTCAGGAGAGGATGGTGGATTCCCAGAGAGGAGGAGAGAGTTACAGTTTCCGTTCTGAGAGACAGTCGTGTCTCCCTGCAAAACAGACAAAACAACAACATGTCACATCATCACAGTGTTGTTCTCTTTGGAGGAATTCCTCCTTTGACTTATTCTAGTACTCTCTATCAATAAAGTTGCGAGTCTTGGCCATGTGGGGCCCATGTAATATCTAACAAGATCAAGACTGATGTACAGGTAATAGAAAATAAATCAACCGCCTGGAAAAATTCTCTGAAGAGTTAAATGTTTGTAGATAGCATGATGGAATGCAAGTTCCAATTTTCTTTAGAATAGAAGGGAGGTCAGATGTGTCTACATGTCATGTACATGTATATCTTTGGGCCTTACATTTACTATGATTTAGGCATCAGATTTGACATACGTGTATTCCTTAAACTTTGGATATGATACAAGCTTATGCATAATCTTGAGCTTTTGAATGACACTGGAAAGATGTTCTTATTTCCGTACCTGTTCCTGGTTCCTTGCTGGCACCGTGTGGTGTGCGTTTCTGTGTGGGCAGGTTCTGCTTAGTCCTTTAGGAGGGGGGTAGCTTAGAGGTTGCTTGACATGCTAGTTGGGACAAAAGAAAGTAACACTTAAGTCCCATTTACATACATGTACAAAATGTGCATGTTATTGTCCTCAATAAAAACATGTTACCAACAGGAAGATGCAATTATTTATGGATGTAATTGTTAGCAACTTCAAGTTTGAGAAAAAAGGAATATTTTGCTTTATATATTTGTAGTACTACGTTGTATGATTTGTAAATTGCACTTTCAACTTTAAAATCAGGGCCGGAATGATTTTTGCCCAGATTTTTTTGGCCAAATATTAGTAACTTTTATTTTGCTCGAAAATCTGGGTCAAAAATCTTTTAGGCTGAGACTTCAGATTTCAAGGTGCAAATTATAGCAATGCTATTGTTTTGGCACTAATATTTGGATTGAGAACTGGGTAAAAATAATTTGAGCTCTGACTGACTTCAGATATGTAATTTACAGTGTTGCATTTTGGCACTGCATATAGAACCGGAGCCTGTGTTGTTATCATTCTCAGTGATTGACAGATGCAAGTGCAGAGATCCTGACCCTGACGGTTGGTGTATTACGTCAATCGTAACTTATCACTCTGTCTCACCAGGGCTCAAAACACCTTAGTGCACCCAAAATTGGAGCTGTGCACCCAATTTGCTTCTGTGGGTAGGTAGTTTTGTAGGTATCAATTGATGTATAATAGTATACATGGTATTATTGGCATCTAAGTGTCAGAAAAATAATAAAATCTTTGTTGTAGTACTTGTTCAAGATTTTGAAGTTTCAGATTCAAGCTCAAAAGAAGAGCAGCAGTAAGATTTGTAATAAATTTAGTGTTTGTTTTATGTGGTGCACCCAAAAAAATTGTGCACCAGTGCACCTATTCACAAAAATGAATTTCGAGCCCTGGTCAGTCTGTGCTGTCCCTCAACCTATCAGGACAAGCTGTCCATTGTGAAAACGACACACTGTGAAAAAAAAAGCCTTGTTTTGTTGTGATCGCCGTTATATAGAAAATATCAATACTGGAAGCGACACCTTCTTCCCAAGACCGCAGGCAGAATGTATCGATTAAAAGATATCTCAGTCAGCTGGACATTTGCCGGCTTTCCACACGTTCTTGTCAAATATTTTGGTCAGGAGTTTCTTCCCAGACATCACTTTCCCTAGTTCAACACCTCGTGTTCGATAATTTGTAGTTCCTACGGCCAGTTTAGTCAGTCTTTAAGTTTAGATTAAGCTTATAGATTGCTGAGACGAGTCTATTAGGATATATACACTCTCTTCCCCCACATTTTCACGTTTCCGGTAAACCCCAGGGCCTTCCTCACAGTCATAATGCGCAACAACGAAAAATGGTGATGAGACAGTCTGTCGTCTGATCTGTGAAAAGGGCTGTGTCTCGCAAATTTCACCGGCGTTTTTCTCGACCATTACACATATTCAGACCAAAATATTTCGTACATACGACCCTTGGAGTATCGCCTAAGTGGTGAACTAAGTGTTGGTAACATTTTTGACTGATTTTTGTCAGAAATTTGACAAAATTACTCGATTCTTACCCCAACACCGCACAGCACAGCAGCGCCGCCACCGCCGCACAGCACCTTGGGACAGAATGGCTTCTCTCGCGAGACTTTGTTTAGATCATACCAAAATTTCGATTGTTAGGAGACAATAGCTGTTAAAAAACTTCAAAACAGTTGAACAAATGATAATCACATGAATATCAAAATCAAAAAGATAATATAAATTCTTTAAAGTATCAAATTTATTGATTTTAGTCATAGAAGGATCTTTGTAATAGTAATTTTGGAAAATAATTTCACCCCTATTTTTGAAGTGGGATTTCCAGGAAGTTACTGGAGTGAGAGGCCATGTGCTGATCACTGATCACCGATATTGCGAAATTTGTGTATCGATTAACCGGCTATATATTGACCAGCTGGTGATCGGTTAGCCGATTTTACTTTTGGGTTACATTGTGATGCAGTTTTTTTAATAATCTGTGCAGAGCATAGCTGAAGTAGCTGTGAAAATTGCTTGTTTCAGACGCAGTGCAGTGTACTTTAATAGAAAAAGGTAAGTTCACAGGTTTACATCATGTGCTTTATTGAAAATTAAATGCCTAATTCTTGTGTCAAAGTGTTTTGAACTTATTTCAAAGACTATTTCAAAGATATTATAGCTTGATGGCTAAATATGACAGCGTTACACAGCATTCAAATGCAAGAATCTAGTCACTCAATGACACATTGTATTCCATATGAAGATACACTACTACTGGTTACAAAGTTATAAAGAGTTATACTTTATTTACAATTCTCTGAACATGAAACCTCCTTGGTTAGAGACAATAAGTTTCTGAGAGTTGAAAAAATGTAACAAACAAACAAACAAACAAAGGCATACTTAAGACTAGACAACAATGTCAAGTCAGTCTAGATCTACCTTATACATTGTACTGCCATATCAAAGTCTGTCACAACTGCTATTCATCAACATTAATGTATATTCTTTTCAGTGTCAAATACATGAAACATGGCAGACTCTGGTGACAGTAAGGGGGCAACTTCTGAATCAGCAGCTGCTGAATCAGATGCTATGGACTGTCCCAGCCTGGAGGGTTCCGATGATTCTGACTGGGAGGAATGTGACGATGATGTTGACCAATCAGACGGCATCGTTCTCTGCTTGTTCTGCAAGGATGAACTCCTGTCAGCTGAGGAGGTGTTTCAGCACTGCAGAACAGAACATCAGTTTGACGTACAAAAATTTGTAGTCAAAAATAGTGAGTTTACAGTTAAATTTTCATCTCCTGGTACATGTATATAGTATCATTAAGACTAAGAGTAAACCATATGTATACAGATTCAGTTGTATTTCTATTGGTTGGTATGTCACATTAAACATCCCATTTCAAGACCTTATTTCTTTGCCTGTCTTTTTCTGATGCAGACTTGGACATGTATGGGTACATAAAGTTCATCAACTACATTCGCAGTAAGGTAAAAAACTTGTTTGTACATTTGTACCAGGTAGTCTACTTTCTATGAATTTGACAAGTACATGTAATCAGAACACAGTCATGTTATTTTCTCCACCTAAAACTGTTATTATGTGTTACTGTAACCGTTATTAGGAATGTTGACAATTGTGCAAAAAGGCTGTTTCTTTTCCACCTTTTTCAGAACACCTCTCCCACAGACCTCAGTGATTCTTCCCCAGACACAGAGGCACCATGGAACAGTGATCAGTACTTAAAACCAGTCCTACAAGATGACCCCCTCCTCTTCTATGGTGAGACTGTACATTTATTGTTTGTTAAATCTGTACTCTGAGTATCTATCAAATTGGCATTGATAACCAAGTAGTTCAATCAGACATATCAGACATATCAGTTAAACATGCAGAAAGAAAAGTGAACAGCAATAGGTGCTTATCATTGTATATAGTGTACAATCTTATTTACATACTGTACAGATGTGGAGGAGTGGACTGCTCAGTGTCCCGTTGCCATGGAGACAGAGGACAGTGACGTCACCCTGCCAGCACAGCAGTACAGAGCTCTGCTGGACAGACTCCGACAGGCTGAGGCCAGGTCAGAGGTCACCGAGGGGCAGCTGCATGATGCACTGAAGGACATCGATCGTCTCAGGTACTTTAACCTTCTACATGCCCTCTCACCATGGTAACTGGTGTTGGGTTACGTAATGTTGCAATTTTATAGTAGGAGAGATTTATACTCCTGTCTGACCATGTGTTAGAGTAAGAATTGACAGAGCAGACCATTTGCGAAGGTAAACATTATGCATTTGCTTTGCAAATGTTACCTTTATAGTATTACATCTATATGATTTTATAACTTTTTTATTAACAGACAAACAGCAAAGACCTTCATCCTGTCAGACCAGGCCAGGGACCATCATGCCTTGCACCCTTCCCATGGTGCAGTTGCACAGTTGCGGGAAGATGAAGATGAGGCTTACTTCAGTTCCTACTCGCACTTCAGTATCCACTTAGACATGCTACAGGTAAGGCCTACTCGGTAGGAAAAAAAATGTTGTGTTTCCTGTTTCCCGACCGACCCTAGAAAATACTGCTGACCCTAGCCTTTTTTGTGTGTGGACCCCTGCAAGGGACATAAATTTTTTGAGCTGATCGACCATTTCTAGCTCTAGATCTGACACCAAACTGATGAAATGTTGTACAATTGGTTTTCCAACATTGTCACTAAATAACAGATTGTCTTTATCCTCCTATCCTAATTAATATATTAGGACAAAGTGCGGACAGAAAGCTACAGGGATTTCATCATGACCAACCAGCATCTTTTCAAAGACAAGGTATGATTTAAGAACAACTCAGGATTTCTGTTGCTACCATAGTTTCATTGTTACTGAACAATGATGAACTCTGTGTCAAAACAAAAAGGTTCCAGAATAGATGTGTTATGTACATAGAACTGATGAAGTTCTGACTTAACAATTGAAGGAAAAGATGTTTTTGAGGGCGAAATTTGTGTTGATACTGAAGTGTTTGTTTTTCTTAGGTGGTTCTGGATGTTGGATGTGGAACAGGTATTCTCTCTATGTTTGCTGCCAAAGCTGGAGCTAGTCAGGTGATCGCTGTGGACCAATCAGAGATCATCTACAAAGCCATGGACATTGTCAGGTAATGTCAACAGTTTTTGTCATTTTCCAGGCAAAACTTTATTCTTTTGTTCACTAACCCTACTTTGTTAGAATCTTTCTGCCAGCTATACTTATTTTGCTTCTTTCCACATTTGCAGGGAAAACCAACTAGATGATGTCATCAAGCTAATAAAAGGTCGTGTAGAGGACATCCAACTCCCAGTTGAGAAGGTTGATGTGATTATCTCAGAGTGGATGGTGAGTTAGAACATCAGTACTGTTAGCTGAGTACTTTTTGAATCTCAATACTTGTTAGTGGTGTCTGGTGTGGAATGGAAAAGTGGCTAGGGGAACTGATACGAAATCAAGAGGTCATAGGTTTGATCCCTGGTATTCCTGGCTAGATGTTGTGCCCTTGGGAATTAGGCACTTGACACTACTTTCATCACTCCACCCAGGTGTAAAATGGCAGTGGAAGGAGAAGGATGGGCTCTACCTTCAAATACTAATATTGCCCAAGACACAGTGGATGTGTACAAAATGTATGTGGTGAATAATTTAGCTTGTAATTGTACTTAGCGTTACATGTGTGTCTATATTTTGACAGGGTTATTTCCTGTTGTTTGAGTCCATGTTGGACACAGTGCTGTATGCTCGGGATCGCTGGCTAGGTCCTGGCGGTGCAGGTAAACAATCTAACCTACTAGCATTGTTCATATTCATATCAATGTACATCTTCTTACTAGTGATGCATACCTAAACCCAATTTTAGGTTCAGGTCCGGATTCAAGTCCAGAGGTTTAGGTTCAGGTCTGGACTTGTAAGTCCGGACCTAAACCCATGGCATATACAAAATTGCATGTTGGCAACCTTGCAATGTTGTCTGGGTGAAACTTTGACGACATAACATGGAGGCCGGTACTTGACGATGCCCGATGGCAATGTTTTCTTCGTTTTGCAGCAAAGATTTTACAATCTACGGAAGGTTTTAGGTGGTTTGGAAAGAAAAGGGGTATGTGAAATGGTCTTTTATGGTAATAAGTCCGGACTCGGTTCTCAACTTTTAGGTTTTTTTGGACTTGAACCTAAACATTCTTACAAGTCCGGATCCAAGTCCAGTGAACCGGTATGCATCACTACTTCTTACAATAGTATACTGTATATACAATGTAATCGTAATGCAGCTGTTGAAACTCTGTGCCTCAACATGTGTAATAGTTTAGTTAAGAATAGTTTTGAGGAAATAACAGTTGATAACCAAATGTTTAAGTATTCACTTCTTTGCTGGTTAGTAGAATATTCATCAATTCACTTCTGTGCATTTTTACAGTTTACCCTGACAGATGCACTCTCAGTCTGGTTGCCATTTGTAACGCAAAGATGCACAGCAACCGAGTTGCATTCTGGGACGACGTTTACAGCTTCAAGATGACCTGTATGAGGTCAGAGGTCACCAGGGAGGGGTCAGTTGAGGAGATTGACCCAAAAACGGTGATGTCAGAGCCTTCTCTCATCAAGGTAAACAGCAAACTGAAGGAAAACTGTTTTTGCTACCTTTCTTCTTCATCTTCTTCTCCAAATAGTGACCTCTGACCTGACTGAGCCACCATGGTGACTGGAGTTGGGTTACATAATGTTGCAATTCTATAGTAGAAGGGATTTAAACTCCATTCACCATATATGTGAATGTGTTTGAGTAAGAATTAACAGAGCAGACTATATGTGAAGGAAAACATTATGCATTTGCCTTGCAAATGTTACCTTTCTAGTTCTTGTATTGTTTTGATCTATTTTTCACATTGATTGAGGCTATGATATTCTTTAGTCTGACATCCAAATCAATTGATTTCTGACAGATGGTGGACTGCTGTTTAGTGTCAGTAGCTGAGCTGGATTTTACAGCAGACTTCAGTTTAAAGGCCACAAGAGATGGGACATGTACGGTAAGTAGGATCATCTTCATAATCTGTTATTGTCACACAGACTCACAGCATGTTCAACTATTGGCTTTTCTTGCAAGAAAACTAACTTATTAAGGAATGTAGAGATAATTAGAATGACATTCAGTGAAATCTGCTTTTTAAAAGATTCACTGTTTACTTTGTACAGGGAATTGGTGGCTACTTTGACATCATGTTTGAGAAAAACTGCAGCAATAAGGTAAGAGGTATCTTATATCTACTAAATTCTAGTTGGCTTGAAGGAATGGATGGATGGATGGATGGATGGATGGATGGATGGATGGATGGATGGATGGATGGATGGATGGATGGGTGGGTGGGTGGATGGATGGATTGAATTGATGGTGGGCAAAATAATGAATAACTGCACTTCCTTAGCACTTTAAAAAATACAGACAGGTTTGACTGTATCAATATCTCCATTTTTGGATTGTATTGTTTTGTTGACACTTTTTTTTTGCACCAAAATCAGTCGGATTTTCTGTTTTTCCCTGATCAGGTGTACTTCTCCACTGCTCCTAACTGTAAACAAACACACTGGAAACAAACTCTGTTTCTTCTGGAGAAGCCAGTGGAACTCAAACAAGGTACTAGACTAGTACTTTTCTCTTTTCGATAGATTTTTTTGTTGTTGTGATTCTCAAGGTGTTAACTTCATGCCTGGTTGCCACATTTTTCACTGAGTTTGACTGACAGATACGTGATTGAGAAAGTCAAAATGAACTTTTACCATCTCTCTCTTTCTTTCCTTGTTTCCTTCAGGGGACCTACTCAGTGGAAAGATCTCTGTAAAGAAGAACAAGAAAGACCCAAGAGCTCTTGTTGTTAGAATAGAAATCACGAACACTGGTCAAGTGTTAGATTTTCAGTTGCAATAACACTTTGTCCTTTGTGGAAGCTATGATGGTAGCTGCTGAAGTTTCGTTATCAACAAGACTTATGTTTTTCACCTATTTTCATTACTGTTCAACTTATTTAGGTAATGAGGTGGAAACTTCCTTGATTTAGCCCTGTAAATGGGCATATAAGAACAAAAAGTGCAAATGAAGGACATCACGTCATGTACTTTTAATGCCACTCACAAGAAAGCTATCCAATGGCATACATTAATCATCATGATTTGATTTCTAATCTAATCTGTAGAATTCTATTAATTTATCGTAGCTAGTATTCAAATCATTGTCACCAATTGTGGTAGAAATACTTAGTGGCAAAGTACTCTAATTTGTCTGGTAATAAAGAATAAGATCAGTTATTTGTCCTTTTTATGTGATTGACGTTCTTATTTATGCTTTGTTTCAAGATTTGCATGTAGAGTCCGACATTCTTTACTATTCTTCCTGTCTGCATGTAAACCATTTGACTGGGTCTACATTATATTTCATAATTGTTATACAACTATGAGTAATGAAGAAATGACAGTAATCCGTATTCGGTGTAGCCAACTACATGCAATTTAATGACATGAGCTGTACAGTCATCCATACACTGTTTACAAAAATAATCATTTCTAGGCTAAAAACCATCGTAATTTTTCTTGTACTATAGGTGAACAAAAATTCAGCAGCCATGCCAAAACAACAGCTTTTTCTACATCTCAGAAGTCAACTTCATTCTTTCTTAACAGGTAACTTATAAAAATGCATCAAACATAGGCAAATGAAGCGTATTGTAACATGATACTTGTGTATCAATGTGTAAAGTTCAATGTAAGACTTTTGCACACTGCTATCAAGTGCCATACAATGTACATGTATAAGCTAAAATCACCTGAATATCTTCTAATGCTGAAGAATTTAAAAGAGCTGTATCATTTCAGCTTAGAGTTATACTAAATTGAGTCATGAAAATGTGCTTTAAAACTGCCACAAATGAAAGCAGAAGAGGATTTGAAACAAAAATCCATAAAGTGTTTTGTGAGCTGATATGGCTTCCATCTTTCAATTCTGTTGTCAAAAATTTGACAGACTGGCAAGTTTTACCTGGCTTTTAAAACAACATGCATTTCCCAATTTTAGTTTTGCAGAAAACTCAATTACATCTATATGTATATGGCATATATTGTACTACATCAAAGTACATGCCAGAACTAAAATGCCTTCCCCCAACGCAATGCCAAAAAGGCCATAAGAGGACACAGGTATACAGTTACAAAACATGCTTGTAAGATGGTTTCCCACGATTCTGCTGCAAGTTATAAAACTACACACCAGGTGGTATCTAAAATGCACATTTGATTTAAAAGTCATTACAGTATCATACATGTTTTAAACTCAAAAACCCAAAGCCACCCTGGCTACATGTACCCTACACCCATTCATGTATGCCTGCTAACTCAACACACATTGACAAAATGTTAGAATGCTAGAAAACAAAGTGCACAGGTTTTAATAAAAGCTTGATTCCATGATTTGTACATTGATAAATCAGGTGGGTTTTTCTTAAAGTTCCTTACAATATTGCCCTAGCAAGCTAGCAAACTTCTCTAAAGATGCAAACATTTTAATTTTCAATTCAAGACTGTTTATATGTAAGTAAGTACCAGTTTAAACTTAGTTCTGTCTTTATGGGTAAAAAATGTCACACACTTGCACTTAAACTTCCCAATATACTTTCTCATATTTTCTGCGTAATTCATAAATAACGTAGAACAGTTTCTTACACAGGTTATGACAAGTTATTGTGTTACAGCTTTACTTATTATAACTTCAAACTTGAGTCAATAGAAAATCGGTATATTTCATGATGATAGCATTACATGTATAGGGCAGGGTCACTATTTATGGCGCTCTGACTACCAAAATCAGTTTCAACTCTACAAAATTTACATAATAGCTCTCTTTAGAACTGATTACTCAACCACACCACCATGTTACGTCTATTACAGTATTAGTTGATGAAAAAAATACAACTTCCACTCTTTTCTTACACTAGGACGGTCAGTTTTAAACTGCAAACATTCTCTATTATGCAGTGTGAATGTAGGTTTTAGCATGTATACATTACACATACTATAACTCCATTCTCGTCATTGAAAAAATGGGTATATTTACATGTTCTGTTGAAGTCATTCACACAAAATGATCTTAAACCCTGTTATCATGTTGTGTAGAAGAGTTTTTTTTTTTACATCTAAATATCTGCATTCAAATCAAAGTGTAGTTTCATTCACACACAGTACCCAGATTGCGAGCAATGCATTTTCCCAAGCATAAAAATATCACTAAGCCAAGCTATATTTATAATACTTCAATCATCCTAAAATGCTCAAAATATGCACTTTCAAACATCCAACTTTTAAAACATATCCTATGGTGTAAAATATCTTAAAAGCTTACAAGCTTAATGTATATCATAATGGGTGTTAAAGTCTTAAAGCATTGGCCACCATATCCCAAAGTCAACAATTATTAACATTACTAAGTCTTACAATTATATGTTAAATTTCTCCCTTTCTCCCTTACTACTAGTACACTAAATATCATGCAGAGGAGTTAGCACATATTTATACAAGGGTAAGAATTTCTGTTAGGTTTGATTCTAGGTAGACTGTACATGTGTAACTGGCCACAGTAATGGCATGTTATTGCAATAGTTTCTGGCCAATCAGCTATTAGCATGCAACCTATCATGTGATGATCATGTGACAGTCACATGACATGTGAGTGGCCACGATCTGTTCTGGACCAATCGGCTTACAGTAAGCAACTCATCATGTGACGTTCACATGATCATATAAAACATAACTATAAAAGCACAGGTGGTCAAAGTAACAACCACACTGTTGTACAGTATTTCGCAAAATTTAAAATGGTTGACAGTACAGGATCACTATTGAGGTAATATTTACAATGATCATCATGTTCACTGGAAATTAGAATGAAGGAATATATTTTCATAAGAGAAAATAACATGTTTGCAGCTGCCACAAGGGATTGTTGCTATGTTGATTGTTATGTATGACTGTATTATGCCATTAAAACATTAAAACTACATGTATGCAAAGAGAACCTTTCGTTCATAAAACTTGCCATGACTTTTATAACAAATCTAAACAGTTGAAGAGTTTAGACTTAGAAACAACGTTTAAACTATAGATTCTACCAACACAGATGAGCTTTCAAAGTTTCATTCAAAATCTAAACAGTACTCAACTTACTAGACTAACATGGCCAGAAAATGGTAGTTTTAGGTGCAGTACGTTCTGCCGACGTGCTGTCCTACGCTGCTACGCTGTCCTGCTAGGTTGCATGCTGAAGGCTGTAGGAAGTGCTGTGACTATGTGAGATGTACAGATGTACAGTTGTAGGTAGGAAACCCCCCCGTCCTGGTGCACTCATCTGGGCTGGGACCCATCATAGAAGGAGGGCTGCAGAAAGATAGAACAAATCATCTCTTCATCTTTATCTCTTAAAAAAGGTTTCAGACATGAATTCAAAATCTATAGTAACCCTATGTGTGATCTGCACACTAACTACACACATCCCTTTTTTTCCATGTTTGAAGACAAAAAAGAATACTCTTTTTAACATGAAAGAACACACACATTACAGAAAAGTGGGGTCTTTAACTTCCATTGTTGGAGAAAAGAAGTCGAATCCAAGTTACAAAATAAAATCAGCATGTTAATATCTATTTCTTCACTTGGTTGTCTTTTTCATGTTACTCGGCTAACTCACTCACTCACACACACTCACACACACACACATACATGTACACACACACACATACACATACATGTACACACACACTACATGTATACAGTTGTTTTGTATTAATGGGGGTTGCATGTGCTTGCATGTTGGTGCCGGGACACAATGGTAGCCGGGAATTTGTAATATTACAACTCATCATTTTGTACCATCTGATGATCTCTTACCCTGTCCCCGTCAGTGTTGTCAGTTCCTGAATCATCGTCGCTGTCGTCAGATGAGTCATCGTTCAGCATGGCCGCCATGGGCTGCTGCTTGCCTGCGTTCTCCGGCTGCATCCGGCCCTTGGAGAGGTTATCATAGCAGGTGAGGCAGACCCTCAGGGGCTTAGAGGACATGTGGGGCAGGAGGTACTTCTTACTGGAGCAGGCACCGCACACCACACGACCACAGTTCCTGCAGTGGTGCTGGGGAAACAACAGGAATACTGAGTTAACACATAGACCCCTAACCATACCCCCCAAGACCTACCCACACACCACACGGCCACAGTTCCGGCAGTGGTGCTGGGGAAACAACAGGAATACTGAGTTAACACAGGTGAGGCAGACCCTCAGGGGCTTAGAGGACATGTGGGGCAGGAGGTACTTCTTACTGGAGCAGGCGCCGCACACCACACGGCCACAGTTCCGGCAGTGGTGCTGGGGAAACAACAGGAATACTGAGTTACCAAGTACACCCCAAGACCTACCCACACACCACACGGCCACAGTTCCTGCAGTGGTGCTGGGGAAACAACAGGAATACTGAGTTACCGAGTACACCCCAAGACCTACCCACACACCACACAGTTCCGGCAGTGGTGCTGGGGAACAACAGGAATACTGAGTTAACACAGGTGAGGCAGACCCTCAGAGGCTTGGAGGACATGTGGGGCAGGAGGTACTTCTTACTGGAGCAGGCACCGCACACCACACGGCCACAGTTCCTGCAGTGGTGCTGGGGAAACAACAGGAATACTGAGTTACTGAGAACACCCCAATACCTACCCACACACCACACGGCCACAGTTCCTGCAGTGATGCTGGGGAAACAACAGGAATACTGAGTTAACACAGGTGAGGCAGACCCTCAGGGTCTTGGAGGACATGTGGGGCAGGAGGTACTTCTTACTGGAGCAGGCACCGCACACCACACAGCCACAGTTCCTGCAGTGGTGCTGGGAAATATCAACAGGAATACTGAGGGTTTTTTTTGTTTTTTTATTCCAACATTTCATGACTTGACATGGTGATGACACACTCAAGTTGTTTTCAACTTATTTTATGCTGTCACCAACGCAAAGGACAAATACAGGACAGGACAATACTCATTTTCACTTGAGCTAAGTAAGGAAAGTCATGTAGAGTGCCATTTGCAAGGGCACAAGATCAGTGGCATGACAGGACTCGAACCCAGGACCTCTTGGTTCCGAGTGGAGCACTCTGTCATTACGCCACACGACTCCACTGAGTTAGTGACACTGGAACAGCATATTCTATCTTGTACAGGAGCCTATAAAGTACCTACCCTCCTCTGTATGGGGGTGAACTTAGTCCTGTTGCAGTGTTGACAGACGTTTGCTTCAGAATCAGGGACCCACACTGCTGCATGTTCCTGCATTGGCCTCTTATCACCTGTAACAATGTAGAACAATCATTCATAAATATGCTTTATAATTGCACATTGCAAAATGCAAATACTAGTCTATTGCTGCCCACCCTTGTGTCTTCCTAAGACCTACCAACATACCAAATATAATCACGATCCATAAAGGCCTTTGTGCGTTATGTTGACCACAAGTATGTGGAAACAGACACACACACACACACACACAGAAACCAAATATTTTCCCTCTATACCCTCTCTTTATAGAGGTAAAAAAACTTTTGAGTCCACCCTACCTTTTGCGAGCAGGTCCTGTATACACTTGTTGATGTGAGCCATCCATTCTGACTTCTCTGTTGCTGTAGCGGCGTAGACTGCAAAGGACTTTGTCGGGCTGATTATGAGCCAACCGTTCCTCAGTTCTGTGGACATCATGTCAAAATCCCAAACATTATTTATAAGTGACTGGTACAAATCTTAATCGTCAGTTTGTGCATTTTTTGTACATTGTATATTTGAAATAACACATCAGGGTAAAGAACTAGCTTAATGTTATGATGATCAGACAGTTATGCCATGCGGAATACATCACACATAGCAAGGTGTCTAGACACAGAATGTAAACACAGTATACTGGACAGTAAATAGCACAGCTATCTATAGACACAGTCAACAAGAAGGCTGTATGTCAGTGGAAGGACAGGGTAGAAAGCTGACCCCAGAAAACATAACGGGTCAGAGGCTTTAACCTATACGTGAAGATGTAAAACAAGCATCATTTGACCTATACAATAGGTGAATCACGATGACACCAAAACAAGTAGGAAAGGTATTGCATAGGTACAGTAGTCGTGTTTGTTTCACATCAAATGACTCAGTAATCTCTAAGCAGATATGAGCTTTTCTAACTACCAAACTACTCTCACAGTGTGAGAGGCTGTCAGAGAGGCCCAGCAGTTAGAAAACATTACGATTCATCATCTTCCACCTCCAACATCTGCTTGGAGATTTCTGATACTGATTAGTAGTTGAGAATGTGATCAAATGGAACATGTGTATAAATCCTGTCCATATGTGTAAGTAACATCATAGTAAGAAAGTTGTTAATCCACAAGGGACACTACAATACATGTACCTCGTGGCCTGGACCTGAACACTGGCTGGTAAACTCTCCTGCCACTGTCTTCCATACATGAAGGGACAGGAGAGTGTGTGAAGACAGAAAAAAAGGGAAAACAAACCACAGGAATAACACACCATTACAGTCAAGACAAAACATAAGGGAGACAATAGGAAATCAAGAAGGGAATCTAGACTGTGATGTACATGTATAAGGCTTAGGGAAAAAATTTTGTGTTTTCTGGGTCGGCAGTTTTTTGGTTGGGAAACAGGAAACAACATTTTTTTCCTAGGCCCAAGGAAAATACTGAGAAGAAAAGGGAAATGTCTTGAGATTTGATACGGTTTTCTGACAGAAGTGATGTACTTACCACCGTTGTCTTCCAAAGACTGCAGCTTAATATTCTCCAGTGGGATGATGTGCTGTTTGTTGTACTGTAATTGATAAAACAGGACCCATGGGACATGAATAATACATACACAGGTTAAACACTAACAAATTATGTTGTGTTCACTGGAGCAGAAAGAAAACATTACAGGTGCCAAACTCAATATAGCATAACTTTCATGGCTACAGTTTTTTATATATATGCAAACACAACAGTCTGTATGTATGAATTCAAACAAAACATTCTTAGTTTATTACAAAGTTAGTTTACTTTAAACACAGAAACATAAGTTTTAGCGATAAGGTAGTTTCTATACTGTTTAGGGCTTGGTTGACTTCCTTGTCTTGATGTTTAAAAAAATTTTGTCACCTTTATCTTGTTGATGACAATGTGTATATTATTACTATAACATTCTTAGTTTATTACAAGTTAGTTTACTTTAAACAGAAACATAAGTTTCAGCAATAGGCAGTTTCTATACTGTTTAGGGGCTTGGTTGTCTTGCTTTTTAAAAAGATTTTGTCACCTTTTTCTTGTTGATGACAATGTTTCCGTACACCAGGATGTCATTGAAGAGGAAGAACTGCCGAGGTTTGGGCTTTTTCCTGCACAGCTTGGTGAGAACACCTTCTCCCACCAGCACCCGGCCTGGACCTGTTAGGGGCTGGGGAGGCAAGGAACAAGCTTTAGTTTGGTTTTAGTTCACAGACAATGGTTGGAGAATCATGTCATAAGTACTATCTTTACACAGACCACCAGAACCTGCCATGTGGCACATCTTGTTAAGACTCTTGTCAGAATTGGCAGCACATTATGTCATGTAACAACTAGATTCAGATATCTTCTTAGACCTTTTTTCTTGCTTCCCTGAATGTGACAGTAATTTTTGTTGTTGTTGTTAATGTCCAATACTTCACTAGAGGTGGTCTCTTGGTGCTCGTTTGCGCATGGTTCAATTCTGAGTCAATTGTCTCTCACTCATTCACTCACTCACTAACCAGGATTCACTCTTGGTGCATTAGAATTGTTCATGTTTTCTAATTTTTTTCTATATAAGTAAAACATTAGTTGCATACCTGCCCAGAGCCACCAAAGCAGGTCTCCACCTGAGCTATTCTCCTGGCATTCGCCTCGCTGTGCACTGTGGAACAACAAACAATACTCAACATTACAGACCATACATCATCAAGGTTCTTCTAACTTAGATCTTAACGTTAGACAAGTGATCACCAATCCATGACATAAAGCCAGGGAGCAGAAGGCAAAAGGTGTTTAACATGTTTGGTAGTTGGCAATACCTACCAATAAATAAAGTTAACAAAACAGTGATCATATCAATAGATTTTTCCCAGTTCAAATTATGATTCAAAGACAAAGTTTATATACATATTGGAAAATGAAATTTCTGTTTCCTGGTTTAAATTCAGACAGAAACACAGTTTTTAGTTTGAGTTGCCCAAAACAAAGAGTCCATGCAGGGGGACTGAAATCACTGATTGCTTTCAAAAACCGATAGCTCTCTTTGTGAATGGTCGACAAGTCAAATAACATGAGACATGTCATAAATTACAGACCGTAATCGTTACTCAAGTAGTCTATCTTCGAGTTAAACTAATTAACAAGTAACGATCGTAGACAGATCGTAGACAAATATATTTTCACGATGCAGGCTTTTCTATCAGATCGAAACCTGTTATTCTAGGAAGAAGAAACTTCCGTGATTAGTAAAATGTTTTGGCAAAGTCATAGTCTATACGGAAACTACCAATCCCACGCATTTCCGACATTTGACTCCGAACGACGCCCACCAAACGCCACTGACAGAACAGCCAAGTCAAGAAAAATCAGGTGTCAACTTCAAACTTCGGCGCGACGCGAGAAAAGTACGGCGCTCGTGCCATCAAAACCAATCAGAAACGATCCCCCGATGTCTAAAAGGTATAATTAAGTGGCCAAAGCTCCTCAGACACATTAGGTTTAGCTACAAATGGGTCAAAATTGCTGGGAGATGAGGGTATTCCAAAGTACTCACCCAATCTGTCCACCATTTTGGGTCACATGACCCAGGCAAGGCGAGAGGTCCCGGATGTCCCACCAGCTACGTGACGTCATGGCATCACTTTTCTGTCGTCTGATCTGAGCAAATATTCGCTGATACGGGCCGAATATCAAATATGCGTATGTCAGAATACTATACACAATAGATGAGATATGTTCTGTGTGAAAACGGTGGAATATCAGGCTATAAGATACTTAGATACGGGGTTGGATTTGAGATATCATCAGGTAAAAAAGTTGGGATGTTGGATGATCTTGATGGATTGGTACACATACTAAAGAGGGAAGCTATTTGCAATTAATAATTAATAATATTGATATATGTTCACTTTTGAGGATTAAATACAATAATTGAAAATGAATATACTTGATATGTTGCACCAAAAATAGCTTAGATACAGGAATACAACAAGCTCTTAAGCTGGTATAATGCCATCCCTCTTCAGAAATGGTATCGCCCTAAGAATATTTTGAAGTTTGGCGGGAAACAAACACAAACTCAGTCTCTGTCAAAGAAGGAAGGTGCGACGTTTCTTACGGTGCTGTTTAGCCAGATAAAAGTCTTCAACCCCTTCTTAAGGACGCCCAAAAGTCTTTAGACTTCAGGTAAGAGAGCCAAGAGTCTTTGTGTTGAAGTGTAGTGGTGCAGTGTGATGTTTTCCGACGAAAACCAAGCCAGGAGGCACGAAACTGCTTTCGCTGTGTAGTTCTACTTCTAGGCCTTTCAAAATTATGCTAAACAGAAGGTTACCATGGTTTTTATTTCGTATTGTATGCATGTTATAAGCCCAGGAAGAATTGACACAAATCTAGAAAGAATTCATCATCAGTGTTTGTTACTATACGATATTAGTGGCATTAGTAAGTAAACTATTAGTATTACAAATATTATATTCAGTGGTAGCTGTCATTATAATATAAGTGTCCCTTTCCAGGCCATCCCCAGACCTTTAGCCATGGCAGTAGCAACCAAGATGAGGTCTCAAGAAAAGACTGGGAATGTGAGTCAACTCAGCATTTTCTACATTCAAGTGTAATACACAGAACTTTAGTAGTCATTAAGTTGTGTAACATACCAGACATTACCAATAGCTTAACTGCCCTTTTTTCTTAAGTTAAAAAAAATACAACCTCAGTTTCAGAGGGAACTGAGTAAATTTTCAGACAAATGTAATTCCAACTTTATTTGTGAATTTTCTTAGTAAGTATGGTCAGTCAATCATAACTTTACTCAATTACAAAACAGTAAGTGTATATAGAATGTTTCTAATGGCTAGATAAATATGATACATGTATAAGAAAGTTTTCAATGGCTAGGCTTTTTCAATATAATGAGAATGTTTCTGTTCATCTTTCCACAGTGGAATGCAATCTTCCCAACAGACCAAGTGACAGAGCAACTCTCCACTCTGTTTGTGAAGAAACTTCTGGCTGTTGCTGTCTCCAACATAACCTACCTCCGTATGATCTTTCCTGAACATGCCTTTGGCGACAGGTGCCTAGAAGGTACATATCACTAAAATCTCATAACTCTATGTACATATTAGGTGAATAACTGTTAGAAGAAAATAGTCGAGCGCAAAGAATCTTGTAGAATGATGTATACAGAATGATATTATCATTATGGGAAAGTCACATGAAGAAGTTGATGTTATAACTTTACTCAGTAGTTGACTAATAGAGTATATCATAGAACATACATTGTATATGGACTGGTGGAACTATTGTTTTCTGTGGTTTAAAAATCCTTTATTAAGGAAACTTTGAGCATGTTGAACATTAAACTGAAGGAAAATTATTTCACACAACTTTATCCAGACTTGAACCTGAAGATCCTTCGTGATGACAGTGCCTGTCCTGGAGCCTGCCAGGTCATCAAGTGGTAAGAAAGCCTTTAAAAATACATCATAGTGTCAAGAATTCCTGGTATTTGATTATGTCTACCATTTGCAAGCGTTACTCTTTTGCTGGTGGAATTTTCAGTAGTTTTTACCACTCTTTGACTTTGACTTTCGGACCACATATACATATACATATACATATACATATACATATACATATATATATATAGGTTTGACCAGTCTTACAAAGGTTGAAGCTCATTGGTCTTACATTCTTGTGATATTATGACATACAGTTGGTTACATGTAGTTGGTTGCATTTTTGCAGATAACATCTGTTATGAAGGAAACAATTATTTTCTTTCTCCTTTACAGGGTTAAGGGCTGCTTTGATGCACTGGACAAGAAATATGTGAGTTGATCTATGGTTAAACATATTTTCAATGCTTTTAGAATACATTTTAAAAAGTAAGTCTTAGCCTAAGTTTATGATCTTTGCTTGACATACTTTACCATTTTTCTTTAATAGCTGCGGTGCCTGATCATCGGGGTAAGTGTAGAAACCATTTGTATTCAGCAAACTGTTTAACATGTTTTGCATAGTGTTGCCCCAGAGGCATATATTGGTATCTGAAATATATCATACTGATTTCTGTTGTAGTCAGTGACTGTGTTGCACTGAAATATATAGCAGATCATTTTTTCCAAGTGCCAAATTATACCTAGCTGCCATTACTTTGAACTGATATCCAAATTTTCATTTTATTTACACAGATTTATGAAGACCCCACAGATCCAGAGGTGAGTTTGAACTCTGTCCTTGGTGCTGATTGGTTGGTACAGGGTCTGAACTTGGTGCTGATTGGTCTATATAGTACCTGTCCTTTGTGCTGATTCGTCTGTATAGTACCTGTCCTTGGTGCTGATTCGTCTGTATAGTACCTGTCCTTGGTGCTGATTGGTTTGTATAAGATCTGTCATCAGTGCTGATTGGTCTGCACCATGTCTGTCCTTGGTGCTGATTGGTCTTTATTTAAGAACACGGACACTTACATCTAAATTATTAAGAGAATGCTTTTTGTTTTCAGACTGTGATTGAATCCTACACTTTCAAGTTTGCCTACAACAACCAGGGTGTTACCATCTACAGGTATGTCATGGCCTTGTTACAGCATATGTCCAGAACCAACGGTTTTTGTTGGATGTTATAATTAGGTCAACGTTGGATCAGACTTTTGCTTGTTGCAGACAATGTCTTTCCTGACACAACATTTGTAAACTATAGAAGGGATATCATCCTAAATACAACTTTAAACGAGACATTCTGCCAAAGTTCTGCCACAATTCATTACAGGTTCCACAAAAGCAAGCGCAGTACATTCTGACAACATGCTGTTAAACTAATGCATAGACTAACTGTATGTATGTATCCATGGTTTGCTTGACATGTACAGGAATGACAAGCAGCTGGCATCAGCCTACAGCGCAGCGGAGACAAAGAAAGCGACCATGCAGCTGCTGAGGACCATCGTGGTCCTGACTCAGTCTCTCAAGGCACTGCCTGATGACGTCATGATGACCATGAAGCTACTCTACTACGATGATGGTAGGTCTTTTTTTATGTTTACCGAAGGAAAACATCGCTTTTGCTCTGTTTCTTCTTCCATTCCAAACACTGACTATAGTCATGAAGTTCTAGGAAAGAAGTTTTCAGTGTGGAACATTATGAGGGATGGAGTATGGAAGAAGAAACTGTTACAGTGATTTTCTTCTGTAGAAGTGGCAAAACATGTCCTGGTTAAGAGATTTCGGAGTAGGGGCATTTATGGACTATAGCATATGGAAATAATTGTATTGCAATGATGAATGAAACACTAAAATTTTTGTCTTTTTTTTCTTCCTTACCCTTTCATTCCCTTGTATTCCAATTTCAAACCACAGTATAAGCAACATTCCTTTAACTACATATCGAAGCAACCCCCTCCTGCATGCCTAACCCCCCCCTCCCCCCCTCCCTAGTGACCCCCTCTGACTACCAGCCCCCCGGCTTTAAGCCGGCCGACTCGGAGGGTTTCATGTTCAACTGTGAGCCAATGAACATCAAGGTGGGGGATGTCTCCACACAGTGGCACACCGTCAAACTACGCATCAAGACGGACAGCTCACAGTTCGAGGTAAATTGTTAGGGCTTTTTTTAGGGCCTAGGAGGGAAAAAATGTTGTGTTTGCATAAATCTCAAGGTCTGAGTGGTGCAAGTAAAAAGTTATTTGTTCAACGTAATTTTCAATGTACACCAGTGCACTTATGCTTAAAAAAGTAATGATTTTCAAACTCTGGTGCATACATGTATTCTGATGTCTATTGAACATCTTTCTCATAAGCTCTGAAGAAGATGTTGAATAAGTTTGATAAACATTGAAACATTAAAGCTAGGTGAGAGAAGTACTGGCTCTCTCACCTGGTTCAATAGTTGTGTATAAGAAAATCCCAGTATTTCTACCAACCTGAAGAAATCATGTTTGGAAGCAGTACACATTATAATAAATGAGAAGTTGGTTCAATGGTTGTGTATAAGAAAATCCCAATATCCTATCTTCTACCAACCTGAAGAAGTTATTCTTTGTTTGAGGCAGTACACATTGTAACAAGGCAGAAGCTGTAACATTACATGTGTTGTGTTGACTACAGGTGAGAGAAGAGCCAGGCCTGCCAGCAGGAACAGAACTAGCTGAGACAGAGGAGGGGAACAGTGTGCAGGGAGGAGCTGTCATCTCTACTGCAGGGTTAGATGGGGAGGACACTGAGGAACCTATGGAGGTGGAGGTACACTTTATATTTCCGGTAGTAAAATTTTGCGGTCTGAGAAAAATGGACATGTTCGCTGAACTATATGTTGGCAGTGGAGGCAGATGCAAAAGAAAGTCTGCAAATTATTTGTTCGTAGTAATAATATGCAGTACTGTGACCCTGAATAGTTTCATCAGGTTGGTACAAGTAAGTCACTGAATGAAGAGACTCTTTTTATACAACCAAGAGTTTTATTCAGCCGATGTTTTGGTGATCCCTACCATCTATAGCAGAAACACCTGAGTGTGCTGTGCAAGGTGACAGACGGTCACCAAAACGTCAACTGAATAAAACACTTGGTTGTGTCAAAAGAGTTTCTTGATTTGTGTTGATCTCTTGCTGATTTTTAGCTAAGAAATATCTGTATGTGGCCTCAATTCTGTTCACAGACCAAGCAAGACGCATCCTCATCCAAGCAGGGCCTGACTCCCAAAGAATGCAAGGATGTGCCAAATCAAGGTAACATGCTACAGTAATCTTACTGATTGCTTATTGATCATTCTATCGATTACCAATAGATGCTTTGTTTATAGACAATGACTAGGCCCAGCGGTACTTGATTTTATGAGTCTATAATTTTTCTTCCTTTGTGTATCTATGTTGAAGTTTTGATTGAAGAAAGCGATTTTCAATTTAATGCTTCAAGAGGAAATGAATTTTAGAATTTATATATATGATTATAGAAGTTAGAATCACTAGTGTGTCTTAAACTGGTCTGCCAAATCTGATTAAGCTTTAAATTTTGTGTCTGTCTGTCTTTGTGTATATTTTTCTGCAATTCCCCAGCCCATCCATACAATGAGGCATTGCCATATATGTTCAAATAATTTATTGGAACATTTTGTCAATGATACTGAAAGGATCACAAAGTAGTATGAGTAAAGGGGTAAAGTTTTCCATATCTTATTTCCGGGTACCTTCTTGTGTTGAAATGCTTAAATTTGCAATAAATGTATCTAACACAGCGCCCCATAAGACGCCCGAGTCTGCCAGTCGCCCGTCAGGCTCCCAGCAGGACCAGGAACAGGACCCGGGTGTGCGCTGTCCCTGTGGGTGTCATGAGGATGACGGACTCATGATCCTGTGTGCTGTCTGTGACCTCTGGCAGCACGGCGTCTGCTTCAAGGTCATTCAGGAGGAGGACGCACCAGAGAGACACATCTGTGATGTCTGTGCAGACGTAAGGGTTTTATAGTATATATTACACAGTATGAGTGACTGAATATACCTATTAAGAGATGGGTGGACAGTCAGTGGGTCAGTTGGATGGATGGATGAATGGATTTTAGTTGGTTTGATGGCCAGTCAGTTGGATGTGTGGATGGATGGATGGAGGGATGGATGGATGGATGGATGGATGGATGGATGGACGGATGGATGGATGGATGGACAGAAAGATGGACGAAAAGATGGACAGATGGATGGATCATTTAGTAATTAAGTTGTCTGAAATCATATACATGTACTAAGTACCTAATCATGTGTTGACTGTGTTTTATTTTGCACCCCACAGACTGCAGTTCCAGACAAGTATCCAACAGACCCTTATCTGGCTAGCCTCTCTCCAGTCAAAGTACAGGTCTGTAGTCAGACTTATAAGATACCCGGTATTCGTGTATTATCTTTGTCAAAAAGGTTAATATGTTTTCAGTGCCATTTGTACTGTCTATAGTGCTTCTGACCTTGTGAGATTTTGACTTGTGAGCTACAGAAGATGTGGATTGATGATATTTGGTATGTTTATGTGGTCAGCTCTTGATGTGATAACTTTAGAGAGCTTCCTTGGTAATGCAACAAACAGTAAGTTTTTGTATCTTTCTTCAGTTTATTACCTTAAATGTCAGGCACAAAGTGATCATGTATGATTTAAAGCCTGGAGCTGCAAACTTGTGGTTTTTATGTATAGCTTTTTACTCAATATGTTGTTTTTTTTCTCTGTACACCTCTGGACATATAGCTGTTGCGCATCTCTTAATTCTTTTTTTTTACTCTCCAGGCCACCTGCCTGTGGCGGCGTGCCCTGTTAGCCTGTACAGAGGCCCCTCGGCTGCTGATCCCCAGCTTTGCCAGGAGGCTGGGCGTGGAAATGAACGTGGCTCACGGCCTCGTCAACAGACTGGAGAAGGAAGGCTTCGTGAAAAATGCAGCCAGGGGGAAAAGGTTAGGTGATGGTTTGATGAATGCAGCAGAACTTACAGTTTTTGTATCTTTTGTCCTGAACATGCAAGGATTGACTGTTGTCATGTTTTGCTAAGAAGTTGCGTAAAAAAGAAATGACGTATGATTTGGTACAACGTATCTGAGATGTCTTGCAACCACCACATCTCCATGTGCAAAAAAGGTAGTAGACCACTGACTATGGCTTTTGCTTGAATGATTTTGTTACTGAAATGTCTTATATTCATTTATAATTGAAACGTAATAACAACAGAAAATTTGCTACATGTACAGCAAGCTTGATAAGCCTAGACTTGTAATTTTGTAGTACACTGTCACTGTACTGTGAAAACTAGAATGAGTTCTTAACCACTTTCCCATTTTTCTACAGGCTTGGCAAGACTGTTGACAAGGAGAAGGTGACTACAGAAGGCTTCTCCAAGTACTTCAGCCACGCTGAGCCTGGGAAGAACACAGACAGCCAAACTGAGAAGACCTCCACTGTACAGAAGGATGAGACACCTGTGAGAGCAAAGGCCACAGGAGACAAGGAGGTTAAAACCTTTAGAACATTTTGGACCAGTGTTTTAAACATAGGATAAGAATTACACCTTTACTGTACGGCATCTGTCCTTGGTGCTGATTGGTCTGCATAGTCTCTAAACTATATCCGTTCACATTAGATATTTATTTGGATGTGTTGCTCTGAGAAAATACTGGTATGTTTTTGTTTGAAAAAACCAATGTTGTTGGTTTTGCTGTTGATGATTGGTTGATCGATCAATCAACAAAAGAAGAAATAGATTGACAATGTAAGTGAGGACTTCCACGAATTTAACCAACAAAACATCAACCCACTGGATAGAGGCAAGTGGCGGGCTGCCATCAAGTCAAAATATTGCCGCAGTATGCAAGCATGTCTAACCCTTGGAAGTTGGGGAACAACAAACACTGAACCCGATAGTGAGGGAGTGGTTGGTTGGTTGATTGGTTGATTGATTGATTGATAATTGCCACAGGTTGATGCGATTGTGTCCCAGGCCTCCCACCTGCAACTGTCTCCTCCTCCTGCTGCCGCCGACAACGCTGAGGCTCATGGGAACAAACAGGCTAACCGAAAACTGCAGCTCAGCCCAGTAAGTTCATCTTCCCCCTCTCTTCTAATAGCGTTTTTATAGTCCAGTGGTTAGCAACCCTGCCTCTAGAGTCTAGACTAACAAGTCTTGAGTTTGAATCTTGACTGTGTGCACTACTGGAAAGGGTCGGAGTCCATAGGATGTTAAGCTGTGGTCCACTGTTCACTGTACTTGTTGAAAAGAGCTAGGGGAAATTTCACTGGTAGAATGAATCTGTAATAGTACTGTTCAATTCTATTTTGATTTTGGGGATGAGATGACCACAGACTTTTAATTCTGAGATTAAGTGAAACCATCTAAAGTGTATTTTAACACTGTTGTATTTATCCTAAGAAGCTTTGCCACTAGAGTACTTTTTAAACAGTTGTAGAGAACTCATAGTTCGAAAAGAGGACATATTGATGATTGTGTTGTCTTTATATATACTTCAACAGGAGAAAGGTGGGCAGTCCAGTAAGAGGGATCGTAAGAGCAAAGACACCTCCCATAACAGTATGGACATTTCCTCTCCAAAGACTCGAGGGAGAAAGAGGGTCTTCTCCCAGGCCAACAAGGTATGTTCTAAGCTATTGTTTTTGCTCTGTTTCCTCTTCTTCTCCAAACCAATAAGGTCAATGACCTGAACCAGACGTCTCTCACCATGGTTACTGGTGTTGCAATTTCGTAGCAGGAGGGATTTAGACTCCTGACAGACCATTTATACATGAATGTGTTTGAGTAAGAATTAACAGAGCAGACCATATGCGAAGGTAATTATAAACATTATGCATTTGCCTTGCAAATGTTACCTTTCTAGTTTATTTTTGTTATGATACTAGTATATAAATTGTACCACACTTTTTTTACAGGATGAAGAGTTTGAGATCAGTTGTAGCCAGGACACGGAGCACAGTCGGACACAGCCCACCAGAAGCAGCAAACGTCGTAAGGCCAGCGTCACGGAGCGCGCCATCATGGTGTGATGCCCCCTGGCACAACAGTCCAGAACTGCAGCCACATGCTTCACTCAATATCTCTGTATTGAGGCTTTTTTTCATCTTTGAAGTTCTGCATCTTAACAGAATCTTTGACCATCCTTGAAAGCGGTAGATGCACCTTAAGCTTCATACTCTTAACTAAGACTTGACTTGGTTTGTTGCTGTTTTGTAGGAGTTGCACTGTAATAGAACTGTCATTCTGGGTTAACCAATAGGCAAAGAAGAAGTGTATATGACACAGTAAAAAGATGATGTACAGTTTCTCTAATTGTTTTG